CTTACTTTTTGAACACACCTCGTATTAATGATTTAAAAACAAAGTTCCATATAAAATGGTTAAAATCTATTGAATTAAATATTTTCTTGCATACTTCCAGGCGCCCTGATAATTGATTTAAATCATTATAAATTCAATACTTTTAATAATAGAACAATAATAATAAATTTTTAATAAAATAAATCCAAAAACAATAATTGAAAAAACCTCAAAATGAATTTTTCTCAAACTTAAAATATAATTAGCAAATTCACTAAAAATTTCTTCAAATTTCAGCGCATTCCGTATTCGTGCAAATATAATTTTATATCGTTTTCCACTTGCTATATGTCTGTGTGCGATGTCTGCGTATATTTTTGTCGACTTTTCAACTTGGCGATTGCGATGGCGGTGCCGGTGACGCGGCACGGTTCGGTGGTGCGGTGGTACCGGTGGTACGGTGGTGCGGTGGTGCGGTGTGCATTTGAAATATGGTCGCTTGTGCCACAAATAAATAACGCTTTCAAATCGCTCGCAAGTGGATTCAGCTACATTTCACTATGCCAATGTGTGTGTTTGTTTCTGTACAAGGGATTGTTGTTGGGCTGCTGCTAGTTAAGCACTCACCCACACAAAAACAGGAATTAATACGAAAACTAGTGAGCAACAAAATGTAGATGACTAAACAAGAGGCACAGACACAGAGATACTTACACAGAGATAACACACAAGTACAGAACAACAGACCAATGTTTGTGAAAACTAAACACCATTTGGTTATTATTATTAAAGGAAATATTTATTTATATAAATAGCTAAACATAGAGGCCATTGCGGTATTTTGACTTACTGACTGAAACTTACTTTTGAAAATTAGATAATAATAATTAGAAAACTAATATTAATTACCCATTTGGGATATAGATATGTAAACGGTTAAATATATATACTAGCATAAGCTTGATAAAGTCAAATAGTTGCCAACTTTAAGGGCCTTCGAATGCCGTAATCTCAGCCAAAGTTATGCCCTTCAGACAGATGACAACTTTTGGTGAACAACTTCGAAATGAAATCAGACATCCTTAAGTTGCCCCGTACGCTTCCAGCCGAACATTGAGGGACACAAAATAACAATTAAACATCAAGCTGACAAACTTTCCAACAGCAAACAAACAAACTACATGCAAGATGGAGCAAATACCGGAATTGTACCTATATAAATACGTAGGTATATATAGTAGTTATATGGCCGCAGAAGACGCGGAAACTTCGCGCCAGGATAAGCACAAGTTGTAAGTAGGAGGGCAAAGGTTCCGGGCGGGAAAACTTTGTCAGCGCGAACGTGACATGAAAATCGCTGAGCTGATGAAAAATGCTAAATCGTGACGGGAATCCCCAAGCCGCAGAGACACTTCCAACTTTTGGCAACTCTTGTTGGAAAACGCGAATGCGACACATGGCCTAAGCCTATGGCAATAATTGACCTTCCCAGGCATAGCATAAAACCGAAATAATCTTAAATTGGCTCTTTGGTGATGACTAAAAAACCAAAATCAATACTAGAGCATGTTTATGCAATTATCTCAGCTAAAGGTTCCTAAAGTTTTAGTCAGTTATGGTTACAGTACCATAACGTTTAGATATAACAACGTGTAGAAAAGACATCGTTCTGGGAGATCCGTGAAATACGAGATCACTTTTCTTTCGGGAGTGGGAAATCCCAAAAGAGTGAGGCATGAGGAACCAGCTCCCGGCGAGTGTGTCTATATTTGGGGCACAACTCCGCGCCGGCTAATGGCTTCATTTGGTCCGATGTTTCGATGTTGTTTGGGCAACTGCCCCCGGACACTTGATGCCAATGCAGAGCGGAGCACTCGGTGCACTTGACTCCGCCGCTGCAGCAGTTTTTATATCGTTTAAAAATACCATGCAACGATCCTTCGTTCCCTCCCCATTCCTTTCGCTCACAGAACATCGCTGCGTTGGCAGCTAAAAATACTGAACAAAAAATGTATCTGCCTGTGCGTGTGTATTTGAGTTCTCTTTGCATCTACGATTACGTGTCTGTGCCCCTGATCTCCCTCCCCTCCCCTTAGCGATCTCGTGGACATGGTTGTCGCCCATCGCCATCGAGTTGGTCTTCCGCCTAGACAAAGGCTAATGCACTTTCTGGCCAACGCATCGGGAAGAGAATTTCGTTGATTTATAATGATCCCAGCACACTCGACTACCTAATTGCTCACTAAGTGGCAAATGTGTTCGATGATGAACAGGCTGTCAGCCGGCAAACGCAGTCCGTGTGGGGAATCATAGGGAAATTGGAAATTATTAGACGTGACCATGTGGGTGGTCCGGGGGAAATCTCCACGAAAATTTAAACAGGCACTGTCAAATTTAAGTCAGCTGTGGGGATTTAAAAGAGTATTTCCTTTATTTAAACAGCTTTAAACTTTAAATGAAATGAAAATTAAATAAAACTGAATTACCTTCATATTATTTGAATATATTTTTAAGAATATTTCCCAGTGCATCCATAAATCAGAGCATTTATTAAAAATGCATTTGTAACTCGAACAGTTTGCAGAAAGTTGTGCGCCAGCAGCAACGGGAAAATCAAAAGAGCAACAAAGTTTGTTTTGCCATTTACTCTGGCTTGGCCACTTTATTAATTTTAAAATAAAATGGCACAGCCATTAACAATGCGCCAAGCGGAGTCCACTTGCAATGCCAACTAAGAAACAGCCACAAAAAAAACAACCAGCAAAGCCACAATAAACAATACACAACAAGGACAAAGGGAAACAGGGACGAGCCTGGGAGAGCCAGCAAAGCTGCAACCAAATAAAACATGCTTACTTACACAATGTTGAGTACGTGTAGAACACATAGATCCTAGGTACGTAATTCGTATACTTCTCTGAGGCACTGTAAAAAGTATCTAAAGGAGCGGGTAACTTTCTTCGCACGCTTCGCAGTCATTTGGAGCATATGTTTCGAACATTTTTCATAATCAAAAAGCTTTTAGCGGCGGACAGTGGCAATGATGGCTCTGCTGTTGAGGATGCTGCATTTTCAGCTTTGCCGCCATTGCCGCTGCCACGCCCCCTTGAACAACGCCACCACCGCCAGTGGGCAAGTGGAGCTTATTGTCCGTTTCATTTTCGAGTGCAGCAGCGTGTAAAATCGCAATAATGCACAAGATTCCCAGCACAGCGAACAGTTGTCCACATACCGTTTCCCTTTTCCGGGAATAAAAACTGAAGCCTGCAGATGCGAGGCGCTACATGACGAACTTTTGATACCCTATGGTAGCTTAAGGTTATTTTAAATTAAGATCTTTTTATCAAGAGCCAATTTTTATTTATCAAAAATGAAAATATTTTCCAGCTACAAATAGTTTTAAAGGTAAAACATTTTTATTTTCAAGAGTCATTCAAATACCCTTTGGAATATGAGTCAATACTTTTCATTTTGGAAGTTCTTAACCCAATTAAAAATAAACGCATAAATGCACCCAATCACGCAGCTCTAAAATTAATATTTATATTGAAAATTACTTTCCCCGAGGACAATCGAAATCCTTGAGGAACCCGATGAAACCCCCATATTAGAGCATTCCCACTTGACAAATGCAAGCCAAACTGCAAGCAGAAGCGACAACAGAAGCAACAACAACTAACAGCATTTGTCAGGGCAATTGATTGCGAAGAAGAAATCCACAAACACCCAAAAACAAATTCAATTTAACTTGCCAGAAAAGTACTCGGACATACACCAAAAATAACACAGCCAGAGTGCGCACAAAGCACACACATCTGGGGAATAAAACGAAAACAATATGAAATTCAATTCAATTTTCATAGGCATAAATATCTCTAACAAATGGCATTAAATTACAAAAGTAACACAAATGAAATCATTCGATTATAATGGCAATATTTTGTGCATTTCGCAAATTTCCAACAATATTTATTTATTTGCCGTTGACAGTTGAGTTTGGCCTGCTACGGCTGCTGACTTTTGAAAGAGCAGCCTTTTATTTGTTACTGGCCTATATTTTATTATTGCCTCTGCGAATGCTTTTAATTGCCTTTCATTAATTTTTACGCAATGCCGGCCATCATATGCAAATAAATTGCGCATACGCCTCGTTGCTGGCGCATAAAGCACAGCCGTGACCAGCACAGTAATTGATGCTAAAGTTTTCTCAACAAGCCCTAGAAATCCGGCTGAAATGAAGCTGTAGCTTGACCGGATTCACTAATGTTTGAAGGAACATTCATCTAAAATGGATTAAGTGGATTTTTCACTTTGCAGTTGTTAAAATACCAATAAAGCCATCATTTATTTATGCTACCAATTAAAGCTTCCCTTTAAAAATGCCTAAACTTTCCTTAAAGGAAGTTTACCTTCAATATTCAGCCACCTAATCAGCATAAGGCCCGCACTTTATCCCTTGAGGTTTGGTACTCCACGAATATAAATAAGGACCTGCCTGAGCTTAAAGTTCCTCGCTGGAAAACCAGCCAGCTCAGAGGTCATAATTTCTGGTTAAGCTGAGCGTAATCGGCACTTTTACCTAAATGGACCATAAGGCGTTAAAATGCTGTTATCGCCCCGCAGAAAAAGCCAGGTCCTTCTCGGCCCGACGACTTACCTTTGGCAATGCAATAAAAAGCCGAAATACATTTCGATTATGCGGCAAGAAAGAACATTTCTCCTGCCTTTTCTAACTTTTCTTCGAATGTTTCGTTTTCTGAGTTTTTTTTTCCAATTTATTTTATTTCTGTAAATTTTCCTTGCGGCCCTCGACGACAATTTGAGGGAGGTCCACAACCCTTAATCGAAGTTCCCGTTTTGCCGGCAATAAAAGAACGAATTTTGTAAGAAAATAGCAGAAAATATAATTTGCTTGAAAGGCAAAATATGCTTACGAATTGGTACTGGGGTGTGGTTATCATTTTTATGGCCAAAGTATTCGAATTGTTTTGTCTAAATTGATGTCATCTTACCCCTGAGCATATGCCCAAGTATCCCACAGCGCTTGCTGTCATATTTCTTTCTTAAAAAGTTTCTACATATACATAAAACAAATAACACACACAGCAATTATGTGTCTGCGATTAATCGGAAGTGCTCTCTGTTGGTAAGTCGACTACTTAGTTTGATTTTAAATGTTCTCAAGAGCTAACAACTTTCGCAGCTGTTGCAAATTGGGTCTCAAATGCTTAATATGTTTTGCCTGTTCCGGGCTCGGTGTCCTGGCCATAGTAGCTCTCATCGTTTACTTTTGCTTCTTTTACAACAAATCAGAGGTTACCACAGTAAAGCCTTCCGATTCTGATTCCACTACTCTGGGGGATATTGAAAAATCCGTCACGAGTGCCCCATCGCTAATCAAATCTTATCTTCACCAACTAATAGATAGATATTGATATGTACATTAGTGAAATCAATAAAACGAACTACTCCCCTTCCAAATAGCAATAAAAATCTAGTGCCTTTAAATATAATTGTTTAGTAAACACATTAAACCGCAGCCATTTCAATCCAAATGGCGTACTCCTGGTCAAAGCACTTGGCACTTGGTTAGCCTGCCTTTCACTTATTTGGCCAGCGAGCGAAGGAAATCTGTTGAAAAACCGCCAACCCATCAGATGCTGCTGTTGTGTGAAAAACTGATGCCAGTAGTTAATGGTACTTTGTATGCAAAGTGCAAGACAAAACGAAAACAAACAAAAGGCCTAAAGTCAGTGGAGGAGCCAGTGGTGAAGCCAGGGAGCCATGGAGCCATCGGGAAAAAGTTGAAAGAAGACGTCCGCCGCCCGGTGGCCACAAAACCGTTTTTTGGCTGCCATTTGATTACATAAAATTTCCGCATTTTTCGCTGGTTGTAAGCGTTTTAGTGGCGAACAACTGACAGCTGCCGAAATGCGGAGAGAGCGTTTAGTTTTCCCCCATCTGCTGCAAATATCCCCGGTTGTCTGTGATGTGATTAAGATGGTTAGTCATTCTATTTAAGAGCTTGCCCCTAAGCTCATCAGCCACTAAAATGCGAAGCCAGGCGAACGACTCTCATGGGCTATATCAACGATATCGAATCAGTTGCACGAAAAAAAGTTAATGTCGGTGTATATGCTCTTGCCATTCTTCCAATAAACGCTATCAAAATATATTGTTTTCAACATTAAATGTGGTAAGCACCTGCAGGCAATGGTTTATGGCATTTTAATTTACACTTCAGTTGAAAAAACATTGATTGTTCTGGGTTTTTTGTTTGTCCGGAAAACCCTTTGTGATCTACTCTTAGTTGGTTTCATAAACAATTAGAAGTTTGTTCGTTTTATTGACGGATTTGCACCTGACAATCGGCCGATACTGTTGACAGGCGAAAACGTGTTTGATAAGCAACAGTATCGTGTCATTAATTCCCTTTTTCATTTACTTATTCGCCAAGCCAAAAAAATGCTTCAATGAATTTCATTTCAATGGATTTTCGGTTTTCCTTTATTTTTCATTATGTGAAGAGCATGGTTGGAATTTCTCCTATTTGCAAGCTCTTTCACTTTTTTTTCTTGAATGCCTTTTACAGCATTTGAGCATTTGGTATTTGCTACCTAGAAATCGAAGAGAGAGGTGAGCAGGGGGCTATTGGCCATTACTTCGATTTGTTTCTTATTTAAATTTTGTATACACTTCGGAGAAAGACTGGAAAGAGAAGACTACAGACATGCAGGAAGAGAGGGCAGGAATGTGGTGAGGGAGTGAGGACGTTAAGTGCCTTTGTCGGTTGCAAAAGCGAATTAATGCCGGGAGAAAGAAAGAAAAAAAAACAACGTAAAGGAAAATCGCTGCGGTTTCCTACTCTAATGCGTTTAATTTATATCCTCTACCAACTACAACAAATAAAAGCAAAAGGAATTGGCCCGGGCTTCGGGGGGATAAAATAAAAATATATATTTATTTTACAGCTGCTGCACTTAGATGTGCGATGGCAATAAAAAGCAGCCCCAGCAAGTGGCATTCAACACCTTTTTTCTTTCGTTTTCTATTTCCTCCTCCGCCCGAAAAGCTTAATAAACAAACGCCGAAAATGGTCTAGAGTTGGGTGGTAGGTTGGTTGGGTGCGTTATAAACATTTAAGTCCACAATTTGCACAGTGTGAAAGGGCGCAGAGCCACAACCTTCACCACCGCCCACTCGATGTCCTCCACTCCGCTTCAAGTGGAACTATCGGAGCAGCAGCCAAATGCTGCTGGCCAAATGCAATTTTCACGTGCAACCGCAACGATATTTATGCCACACCAGCAACAAAAGCTCAGCCGGAACCAATTTCAACACTATACAAAAAGGGCGTGAGAAATATTTCCATGATTTCATTTTTGGTTGAAATTTAACTAAAGAACTGTTTGTTTTAGAAAAGGCACTTTTGCTGTCTTCAAAAGATACATTTTTATAGTTATTTATGAGTTATGGGAAAGTCTTAAACTAATTAAGAAACTAACAAACAAATAATTTCAAACAATGAAATCCTTTTTTTTTCCAAGCCTCTAAAACGGGAATATTGGAATTTTATGAAATACACAGATTTTATCAACAAAACTCCCAAAATTTGTTCGAGTGTCAGAGGAGGCACTGTCAGCTGCTCCCCGTTCCACAACAACTGACAACTAGTTGACACCACCTACACTGCACCACCCACAAACCACCCATTTACCACCCTCAAAACCGTATCCAAAGTCACAGCTGCACCTTTCGCCACCATTACTAGTGTGTGGGTGTGTGTGTGTGTGGCTAAATGTGCGGGTGTGTGTGTTGCGTTTGGTCGTTGGGGTCGTCGAGTTGCATGCGTGGGCATCCCTTCATGGGATGTGGCTACATAAACATCCCACCAACTGAGGCAAAGAGGGATGGGGCCATACGGCCACGGACCATTGCAAGGTGAAAATATTTTGGGAAATTCTGAATTTGAACCCTGCCCAGGCACAAACTTCTATTTTAGTTCAAAAATTGTGCATTTTTGAGGAAATAATAAAAACATTTGCAGATAACAAAAAGTCGATTTGTGAAACGTTTTTGACTTTAATTTTTCCATTTTAAAGAACTAATTTTTTTTTACCCTGTACACCATTTCGAATTTGAAATTTCAATATATTTTTCGATCATATTTTATAATTCATTTTCAAGGGGCATTTTCGCAGTTAATGCAGTTCAAAGGGCAATCTTATTTTTGGCAGTGGCATTCAAATGAGATTCCTTCTCTGCTAGGCACCAAAATGCTCGATGGCTTCCGGTTGGTAACGACAACAACGACAACCCCGACGACAACCCTGCAATCTCAAGTAGTCATAAACACGATCTGAGCACCTGCAACCTGCACCACCACCCCTCGACCCCCCATGGAAGAGGAGTTCCGGGCTCGGGTTCGGGTTTCCGGTTCCGCTGCAATGTGTCGCCCGCCATTATGCAAATGTTGGCTCTCAAGTGGACAGACTGCTCATTGCAATCTGCATTTAAATGACCCCGGCGAGGTGCGAGCACGCTCCGAGATTTCTCGCCATCATTTGCAAAAATATTAAAGAAAACTCCTGGCCAAAAATGGAATATTTCATTCGCACCAAGGAATTATGCATCGCCACACCTTTAGCCCAACTTATCATAGCAAACGAGTTGCGGAAATAGATAATTGAAAGTCTCTTTTTAAAAAACCTTGGGGAGTTATTTTAAGAAGATTTTAAATTTAGTTTAAAAAATGTTTATTCTTGGGAAATTTAGAACAACGATCTATCTATAGGAGCATCCTTAACAATGGCTATAATCTTTGTATGCAGAAATCAAAGTCCCAGACTAATTTTGCCTTCAGCACGAACAGGGGCAGGATGCATGGAAGGTCCCCTGTCGTTTTCATAATTTTGACAAGGTAACACACACCACACACACACACACACTCTCCGCAGGGGAGACAGCTAATAAAGTTACACAGACTGAAAGATTGTGTGTGTAATGCGTTTTGTTACGCTCCCTTTTTCCCCCAAGAGAGTTGTTAACGTTTTTTCATAGCCGTGTTTACTCTTTTTCATCTTGGCGCCGAGACTCTAATGACACGCCCACAGCCCCCTTGGTGCCAGTACCCTCCCTATCCCCCAGCCTCGGCTAGCGAGCGATAAGCGACAATAAACATAAAAAATGAATGCTCAGCCCCCTGGTGGAGCAGGCTTTCCCAACTCCACCATACACACACCTTCTCGCTCGGATTTTACCCAGGCTTTCCACAATTCCAACGCACGCTTGGCGAAAATTTTAACAGCCGCATGAGATTTTTCCGCCATCAACCTTTATTGTTGCTTCCACGGATTTTGGCGGATTTTCAAGCCATAAACATCTCTTTCATTTTCATTTTCATTTTTGCTTTAAAGTAGCATTTTCATCCTTTGGGAACTCAAATTAGTTCGCAACAAGAATTTATTAATTGAATCATAATTTAATGGCCCAGAGGGGAAAACGCATACGGATTTTCTACTCATAAAAAATGTAAACAGCTTTGCTTGCAGAAATTATTGTTAAATTTACAGCAGTGAACATTTTATTAACTTTAAATTATTATCAATTTTAGCACATTAATAAATGGCAAAGTAGAGGCCAAACAGCTCGTAAATTAATAAAAAGTTACAATTAATTGTGATTAATGGCCGCGCGGTGGAATAATGTCCCTCTAAAACGATAAAAAAAATGTTTAATTAATTTGATTTATTTTTATTAAATCTTTTCCTGAATATTGTGTAAAAAATGAGTTGAAAATTCAGTATACGAGTGTGTTCAAAAAGTAAGGTGACTCTTCAAATTTCGCGAATTTCAAATTTTTCGATTATCGATTTTTTTGTTTTGTTATATTGGTACACTCTTCCCTAACATCTGTACCAAGTTTCAATGGAACATCCTCTTTTGTTTGGTTGTGAGGGCGTAAAGTTACAAGTTATTTTGCGAGCTCGGCGTTTTTGCTATCGAAAATATGGATCAAAGGATTTGGATTTTTTGGCCAAAAACAACACCACAATAATGCCTCAGCCACCATATTCTGGATTTGGCCCCATGTGACTTTTTCTTGTTCCCAAAACTGAAGATAATCGAAAAATTTGAAAAATTTGAAATTTGAAAAGTCACCTTACTTTTTGAACACACCTCGTATAACTTTTAAAAGGTTTCGATAATCGAAAAATTTGAAATTCGCGAAATTTGAAGAGTCACCTTACTTTTTGAACACACCTCGTAAGTAAACGTAAAATCATAATAATAGTCCGAGGTCGAATGCTGCCTCCTGAAAAATATAGTCAGAAAATCAGTTCAAAATGCAGGAAAAGTTGATAAAAAAAATCCTCATTAATGATCTCAGATTGAAATTGGTTTCCTGTAACAGAGGACATTCAAAAATATGTATAAGGCCCTCAGAAAATTAGAAGATTTCCATTTAAATTCTTTGAAGTGGCCTGACATGTGGGACTAATTGCATCCATAGCTCATCTCAAAACGTCCGACAGAAACCCGCTTAGTTGTGTGTCTGCATGGCATGTGAGAAATGCCAGATTATTAACAAATTCGTATGCCACATCCCCCTCAGCATTCGCCTGTCAATTTGTCGCATCAGCAAATAAAGAGGCTGGCAGAAAAATAGAAACCCGAAGGAGATGCTCTCCATGTACTGTACTTGTACTAGGAAAAGCCACCCAGCCAGCCAGCCAGCCAGGCAGCCAGAGACGACGACTGTCAATACAATTTCCAGGGCAATTCGAAGCGGAAAAGTCAGCCTGGGAAATGCAGACGACTTCGGCATGTGGGTGGGTTTTTTGGGTGGTTTGTCAGCTCCAAATGCGATCAGCTCGACAGCTAAGCTCCACTTGCCAGGCAATTTTCTCGAAGGCGCTGACAGGGATACAGATATGGCAATTGCTGAAATTATTTCCCTGGCGAACTTTTGATGTTTTTCGGCCAGAAATGTTTGTTAACTGCCAAATCAATCTACGCCAATCGATGTTGGGCAAAAACGCATCGTTGGCCTATTAAAAACCAATTTAATTTACTGGGTGGCGCGCGGAGATGGGGCAAGCTCTGTTGGGGATGCACTGAGAGAACTTATTGCTAAGATAAAAGATCAGGAATATTAAAATGACGCTAGCATGTTGGAAAATTTACATAGTGTTTGCCCCAAATTAATCTAAAGATGAGGATAATATGATGATAAATATAAATTTAACTTAACTATTTCTTCAATTTTTCTTTCCAGTGCTCGGAACACATTTTCAGCAACCACGAAATTTGATCAGAGATAAATTCCAATTATTAAAATCGAATTTGCACAGCAAGTCAGCACATGCAACATGCAATGGGCGTGGCCAGAAGGCGGGTGGCTGGTACCCCGAATGTGTTGCATTTTAGAAGCCATTGAGAACATTTTATCAAATTCTAATTATGCAAAACGGAGGGGAAAAAAGCAATTAAACCGAATGTCCCCGAGTTCTCGTATCCAACTAACTATAAAATGGGCAAATTATCAGATCTCCAAAGCGTACCCAGAGTGTGGGGCGTGGCCGAACAACAGACATATTGTTCCGAGTAACGAAATACAAAATTTGCTGGTGTTTCGACTTTCTTGATACGTTTTCCAATTAACTCCGCTGTCCAGTGTTAGTAAACGCTATATGGCGAAAACAAATTTGCCATGAAATTGCATTTTTTCTGGCTCAATAAATTGTCAAATCTGCGAATCGACGATGGCTAAATCTTGGTGGGCGGGGATTACATGCATAAATGCAATGCCCAGTTAACGCTTCATAAAATTGCACTTTAAACAATCGAATTGCCGGTGCTCGATTTGACCCAGTAGTGCGGGATAAAAAAACACAAATAAAATCCCTTGAAAGAGGGAAAACAAAAACAGGATGTGTCCACCATAGCGATAGCATAAAGTATAAATTGTAAATAAATAAATTTTATGGCAAGGCGCATGCAGTGCAGTGCTTTTGTTTTACAATTTCTGAATCATAGGAGCATCCATTTGACAATTTGCAGTAAACAAATGGCAATAAGAGCGGGAAAAATAAATAAAAATATTAAGCAAACAATTTATGGAAACAATGAGGAAAACATGAATAACGATTATCCTTTTTATTTAATCAGGGTTACAAAAATGATGGTTATACATTAAATAAGACACCTTAATATTTCTGTTTGTGAGTGTTTAAAATCAATCACAGGATCTCTTGGAAAGTCCTTGAAAATCAATGAAACCACGAAGTAAAAAACCATTGCATTCTTTCGGGTCCCTGTAAACATAATTTCCATCACATATTTGCAAATTAATACTCCCTTATATGTCCATAAATAATAAAAAGGAGTAATAACCGAGTGTATAAAAACAGGAATAAATAATGCATATTTACAATGGCGAGCAGACAGCATGAAATAAAGACACGTCCCATTAACTTAAATGCTTGTTCTCCCCGACTCTTCAATTTTTTATACTTTCTCTGGTTATTCTTTTTATTTTTGAAGCTTTGGCAGTTTGTAATGAAATATGCATGCCCCATATTTACACGAGCAACATTAATTTGGCAATTTCACTGGCGTTTCTTTGATGCAGACCAAAAAATATTTCGTTTTTTTATGCTAAACGGTGTGAAATTGAGGAATGATTTACCATAAATTTGATGGCAAACAAATTAAGTCCTAAAAGGGATACTAACTGATACCTTTCTATAACAAATATTTCAAGGAAAAAGTTTGTAATTTAGTATATGAGGAAAAAAGATTGCCAAACTAATGTCAAGTCCCCATTGAACTGATCAAAGTCGCGAGATGCCAAAATATTTCCATAATTAATCAAATTGATTTACGCTGATCCCACCCACAGCATAATGTCCTGCGACTGTCCTGATTTCCCAAAACATTTTATTGCCTTTTTGCCGAGTCCCATAAATCAAAGGGCAAAGCTGCAACTGCAACCAGTTCCTGTTTAGAGGCAAAAAGCTTAAGAGCGGTGCAGCGGACAATTATTGAATTATTTGTGAACGCTAATTAGTCGGACAACTAGAGCCACAATGATTATTATTTCTTCTTTTGACATTAACAACAACGCAACAAAAACAGCAACAACAAAGAGGAAAGAGAATGAAATCAATTAGGCGAGCCAGTGAACAAAATGGGAAATAATCTGGCCATAAAGTCGGACGATGATTATTGTGATGGATATTTTATGTGACACCACTGGCCGGCGGATTGACCCCATTGCATCGGCTGGACATTTCTGATGCTGCTTTGTTTCCGTTTCCGCTGGGCTCGTTTTGACATCTGCGCTCGGTTTCGGCACAAACCACCCACTCAGCCACCCACTTGAAATTCAATTTTCCGACGTTTTTATGATAATTTATATATCAATTTATATACACACGAAAAACGAAATTACATTTTGGCTTATTAATTTATGCACGAAACTCGCGGGACCGAAATGAATTGATTTGTGTGTTTGTGTGAGTGTGTATGTGAGTGTGTGAGTGAGTGGTTCACATAAATATTCAATTTGAAATTAGAAACATTTACACAATGCATTGCACTAAATTGTCACCGAAATTATATTTGCATTGCATGTAAGCCGATCGTTGAAACTGAACTGAAGCACGGGACATCTCTGGGCAGGCTATTACCTTCACCATATGCCAATTATGTTGCCCCAATAAAATGCCTCTTGGACACACTCGAGTAGCCACCGACTGCAAAATAAACTACCTAAAGACGTGTAACCAGGTCTTGGGCCTATGTGGGAGCGATCAATCGGAACGATACCTAATGGTTATGATAAGTGCCAAACGTTGAGCATGAATACAGGGTTGCTCGACTGGCTGGGAATGACAAAAGTTTTTAATAATTTCAAAAAGTCTTCAAAAGTGTTAAATTTTGAAATTTGATTAAATTTTGTTAGATAAAGCCGTCTAAGAGTATGCAACAATAAGTGAACAGGACCAATGTCAAGCAACATGTTAAGGGACGACGTTCCTAGTTCTGCTGCATACTTTTATGCTCACAGATATCCGAATTCCAGCTTATTTTACAACAGGAGTTGCCAGGTTGCGAAAAAAATATTCCGTTTATCCTTAGCCTCTTCCTCGAAATCAGCGTCTCTTACGTTATTTACATTGAACATACCTTACATTCAATAAATAATGGTTTTTATCAGCGACACCTAGCTTTATTTGACAGTACTATTGCATTCTCCTTATTTTATCGAAATCGATAAGTTTGTAAGTTTAAAAGTATCGTCACTAATTAAAGTTGTGATAAAGCTAAAATAAATAAGTATAAATTAAAGAAAACAAAGCATTGTTTTCGACTTGTCGTAAGAAAAAAATGACTTCAGTCTAAGACAATTCTTTAACAAATTATTTAATTCTTAGAACCTCGCCAAAAATAAACTTTTGCCACCTGGTAACACTGCATTAAGTGTAATATAAAACCCGGCTTAGAGATAACGAACTGAAAAAACTGTGAATCCAATTGATCATCAGATTTCGCCCGATATGGGAAAACTTATAATTCGAGCTGCGTTGTCAGCAGTCCTAGGAATACTATTGATCACGGGATGCGATTCGGAAGCTCAGAGGTTCAAGTACGAGATCAAGGAATTCCAAGTGCCGCTGGACCACTTTAGTTTCCTGATCAACGCCACCTTCAACATCCGGTATTTATACAACGACTCATTTGTGGACAAGAGCAATGCCCGCACACCGATCTTTTTTTACACGGGAAATGAGGGGGACATCGAACTCTTTGCTCAGAATACCGGATTCCTGTGGGAACAGGCGGAGAAACAGGGGGCTTTGGTGATCTTTGCGGAGCATCGTTACTATGGAAAGTCCCTGCCTTTCGGAAGTTCCACTTTTAACACCAGCATGCCCGAACATCTGGCTTATTTCACAGTAGAACAAACGTTGGAGGATTACGCCATGCTGATCACTTTTCTGAGGAACGATCGGCAGATGCCAGTGGTGGCCTTTGGAGGATCTTACGGGGGAATGTTAGCTGCCTGGTTCCGAATGAAATATCCACATTTGGTCACAGGTGCTTTGGCCGCCTCAGCACCCATTCTGCAGTTTCCCGGGATAACCGATTGCGACATATTTTATAGGATCGTCACATCGGTCTTCCAGAATGCCTACAACGCAAATTGCACAGTGAACATTGGCAAATCGTGGAAACTTTTTGAAACCCTGGGAGGAAATGATGCCGGCAAGAAGCAGATATCGGATGCATTCCATCTTTGCAGTCCCCTAAAGAGTGATGAGGATCTGAAGATGTTCCTGGACTACATAGAAGAAGTATACGGCAATCTAGCCATGGTAAACTATCCGTACAACAGCAGTTTCCTGGCGCCATTGCCAGCTTATCCCGTAAGGCAGGTGTGCTTCTACCTTAAGGATTTACATAATACCGATGCGGATTTGCTGCATGCCATGTCCAGTGCCTTGGCGGTTTATACTAACTACACTGGGTCCTCCAAGTGTCTGGATATATCTAAGAACTCCAATGCCGATGATTCTGGATGGAATATTCAGACCTGCAACCAGATGGTAATGCCCTTCTGCTCCAATGGCACAGAAACCATGTTCCGTGCCACAAGCTGGAACTTTAAGGATTTCGCCGACAAGTGCTACAAGAACTATCGCCTTACGCCCAAGCCCTATGATATTATTCTAAGATATGGAGGCAGAAACCTGGAAGCTGTGACCAATATCATCTTCAGCAACGGTCTTTTGGATCCGTGGAGCGGTGGCGGTGTGTTGCAGGCACCCAATGATAAGGTTTTCATCATACTCCTGCCGGAAGGGGCACATCACCTGGACTTGCGACACAGCGATCCAGCTGATCCGCCTTCTGTGCGAGATGCCCGCAACAAGGAGGCGGCCATCATTAGCAAGATGGATTCAAGATTTCTGAAGTGAGAGTTTTTTTATTCTTTTTTTTAAACGTTGGGGCTAAGTATATTGTAAACCCAACTTTATAGCCGAAGTAATCAAAAATAATAAATATTATAAAAATATATTTTTATAAAAAGTAACTAGAGATTTCACGACTATTTTGAAATACTATAAAAAATATAATAAATGTCTACTTTCGTAATTTAATTTGCATTTTAAATTCACATTTCTAAGTAAAAATATTGTATAAAATTAATTTAATAATTACTGCAGAATTTGATGCTTTTTTGTTCTCATTCATTTATTATTTCTTGAGTTTAATTGATTGCAACCCACATAGAATTATTGAATTTAATTCTAGCAGTAGGCCTAAGCTCAATTTAATACGACTAGTTTATATATTTACTTGGATTTCCAATAGAATTCATAAAAACAAATACAAAATTTATACAATTGGTGCGATGGTACCACTAATCGATAGACACGTTGGATATTTCCATGGAGCTGTTATCATCCGAGGCCGGATTCTCAGTTGGATTTGCTGTGCTGCCAGATGTACCAGGGGTTTCTTCAGTAGCGGTTGTGACTGCAGTCGCCGAAGTGGTCGTGGTACCGCTAGCACCCGGCGCTAAGCTTGGCCTGTTCGCCTGCGATCGACGCATTCCCTCAAGCAAGTTTCGGCCCGGGCGTAAACTTATCGTTGAGCTACTCGAGCTTCCAGCTGTAGAAGCTGCAGCCGTGGAGGTTGTAGTAGTTGCTATCGAAGTAAAAGGCACTCGGACACGAGCATCTTGTAGCTCCCACTCCATCTCATCCTCGGAACTGGTCTCTGCGTTCGCCACAGCCGTGGATGTTTTTGCTTTCTTTTGACCTTCAGCATTCCGTTTCCAATCGATTGTCTTCAGCAAAGCCTTGGCCTCTGTTTTTCTCTGAAAAGTTTTAATATTTTCATTAGTTTTATTAAATATGGACTAAAAAACATTTTACCCACATCATCGGAGTCCAGGCACTTGTAAGCGTAATAGGCTGCCCTTTCGTATTCTCCCTTCTTTTCGTAATAATTTGCCAGCGTGATAAAGCCCTGGTAGAGACTTTGTTTATCGGTGGCCGCCCGCTCGTCTTCGCAATACATGATGTAACAATGAACCGCCGTTTCGTGATCACCCAGTTTCTCGTGCAAATTGGCCAGTTTGTACATAGCTATACCCTCTATATCACCCACGTCGATGGCCTTCCAATAGCATTTTACAGCGTTTTCGCACTTGTCCAGCTTTTCGTAGGTCTCGCCCAAAGCTACCAACATGCGAGAATCGTAGGGACGGAGTTGGTGGGCAATTTTAAAGTAATACAAGCTGTAGTAGTGCATCTTGATGATCTCGTAGGCCTGACCAAGCCCATACCAAGCGCGATAGTCCCGCTTGTTGACCTCCACTGCCTTTCTGTAGCTCTGTATGGCTGCATTCGTGTTCTTCAGTTCCATGAACTCGTGACCCATCAATGTCCAGGCGGCCAGGTACTTGGGATTCAATTTCAGGGCTCGTTGGAAATAAGATATCGCCACCTGGTGATCACAGCGGATGCTGTAGTAGTTGCCTGGTAGAAAAAAATTTGTATTTATATCTTAAAAGTTTCAAGTTGAGTCTCACCTATCACACAGCACGTCTCTGGACGGTACTTGTTGATGCTCACAGCCTTGTGGGCCAACTGGGCCATCTCGGTCTTCATTTCCTTGACGAACAGCAGGTTGGAGTACGTATCCACATTATCCAAGCGGTAGGGATCGCTCTCGAGAAGTGCTTGATACAGTTCAATCGCCTTGTCCACGTCCCTCTTGTTGTGATAGACCAGAGCCATCTGGGCAATCAAGTATATGCTTTTGCTGAATCCCGATGCCTGCAGATCTTCGTAAATTTTCAGGCCATCGTCGTTTAGGTACAATTCTAGGTAGGTGTGTGCCATGAAGAAATGTCGCATCCAGTGACCGCCTAACTGCAGACTGAGTAGTTTTTTCTTTTCCATGACCAGGGGAGATAGTTCCAGATAGGCACTCCACAGCATGGGCACCAGTCTGATAGCCTGGATAAGCATTTGCTCGGCAGCTTGATTGAGATTCAGGGCTTTCAAGACGACTCCATATAAATAAATGCCATAGCCATCTAGGCGACTTTTCCCGTACTCCGTGCGCAGCGTGGCCAGAAGATCAGCGAGATCCCGCATTTGATTTGGCTCGTGGAGATTCGCCTGATCGGTGATGGAGTCCAGTCGGCGCTTTTCCCTTGCCATATATGTGGAGTAGAAGTATAAAAAGCGCGGAACACTGGACTCGCAATTCCTCACAGCATGTGCCGCCCTATCGTATTCCCTTACATCGTAGTAACTCTTGGCCAAGAAATAGTCGCTGTATTCAGCCGGCGCAATCCCTTCCAGCTGACATTGGCTGAATGTGCGATCCTCATCCGGCGCTTCATTGTCTATGTTCACATCGCCCAAGCCGTGGTGCATCTCCGCTAGCCACTTGGTGCTGTGTAGGAGACCTCGCTTGGAGCATTCAATGATCCCGCGGCGCAGTTCCCGCTTCACATCCGGCAGCAGCACGCTGAAGAACTCCTGCATATCGATCGGATCGGATTTGTTTGGATAAGCTATGCTCTAAAAACAATTTTATTTGCCGGTCGAACAGCGATAAATGATTATCGATAAGTGCCGGTAGGGTATTCATTATGGTGAACAGTCACGGAAAATTTCCAGTGCTGGGAAACACGTTTAACGTGGAAGGTACATTTTCTATTTAATTATTATGTCCTTATCTATCTATGAAAAATATATATTAAATAAAATGTTCTTTTAATCTTCCTAAGGATTTTTTAAAAGTTTTTGTAACACAAGAAAGTCTACTACTTAAATTCATTAACAAATATATAATTATATTATTAATTATATATTTTGATAAAAACCAATAAGTTTTAGGGAAAATATATGGTTCAACATATATAAAATTATAAAAAAGAAATACATATCGATTGTGTGCAACAATCATAAAAAATATTTTCTATGGCGCCCACTTTTTGAATTCACTTGCTTAACATCGTGACAAGTTCAACGGTTATTTTAAATCACAATATAGCTGGTCACACGTAGGAAAGAGGGGCTAGGGAAAGAGGAAAGAAAAAACGCTGACCATAACAAACTGTGCAATAACAACAAAGATTAGGAAAATCAGCATGTTTGTGAAGTCAATTCCTTTGTTTAAGTATTGACTGCCACCCGTGACGTAGACTTCTGAAGGAGAAATGCGACCCCACAAGTTCCGCAATCCTACATATATGTACTCCTAGAGTTTAAAGGTCAAATCTCAGCTGACTGAAACTGCGCAGACAACAGATTCACCCTTTAAATGCATTGGAATTATCATAACATAATGCTTTTATAGCTGATTCATTTGTTTATGCAGAGGAGACCTTTATCAAATAATTGAGTGGCGCGATCACCCGATAACCCCCAAGCTATATACGCCATATAAACAGGCGTCACTTCTGCTTTGTTTACAAACCAAAGCACATCGCAAAATGAGGCTCAAATCGGTATTCCTGGTTGTGCTATTGACCACTTTTTTGGGTCTGGGCAAATGCTTTTGGCCCTTTAATAAAAAACACAGTCCACCACCTCCTCCACCACCTGAACCCAAGCAATCGCCTGTGATATTCGGTAAGTCCGTTGATTTTTGCTTTCCACGAACGAGGAGTTTTACAAGGTTAATTTTCAGTTCCCGGCGATGGAGGCTCGCAAATGGATGCCCGACTTAATAAGAGTAGCTCTCCCTATTTCGTTTGCCAAAAAACCCACGATTGGTACAATCTTTGGCTGGATTTGGAGCAGTTAGTCATACCCATGGTTTACTGTTGGATAGATAATGTAAAGCTGTATTACGATAAGGCAACTAGGACCACCCATAATACGCCTGGTGTGGAGACAAGGATCCCCGGCTGGGGTAATCCCGAGGTCGTCGAATGGATCGATCCCACTAAGAATAGTGCCGGAGCCTACTTTAAGGACATAGCTAATGTGCTGGTGGATCTGGGATATGTCCGCAACATGAACATCCACGGAGCACCTTACGATTTTAGAAAAGCACCAAGTAAGTGTCCATTTCATAAGTATCCATACTCATTACCTAATCCCGCAAAAATGTTCTTTTCCAGATGAAAACAAACAATTCTTTATCGATCTCAAGCAACTGGTGGAAGACTCCTACGAAGCCAACAACCAGACGGCTGTCACCTTTATCACGCACAGTATGGGCAGTCCCATGACCCTGGTATTTCTCCAGCAACAGACTGTCTCTTGGAAGGCGAAATATATAAAACGAATGATAAGCTTGGCAGGAGCTTGGGCAGGCAGTTTTAAGGCTATAAAAGTGTTTGCCATGGGGGATGATCTCGACTCGTTTGCCCTAAGTGCCAAGATCCTAAAAGAAGAACAGATAACACACCCATCCACTGCCTGGCTGCTGCCGTCTCCACTCTTTTGGAAGCCCTCAGAGATTATAGCAACAACTCCAAGCAGAAACTATACGATGGCTCAGCTCAAGGAGTTCTTTAATGATATTGACTATATGACTGGGTGGGAAATGCGCAAGGATACAATTAAATATAGCCAAAACTTTAGTCCACCAGATGTGGAATTGCATTGTCTGTATGGCGATGGCATAAATACGGTGGAGAGGTGAGATACTATTTGTTATAATGGAGACCCTCAACTAACTCTTGATTTAATCTCAACAGATTGGTGTACAAAAAGTCGGATATTGCTGGGGAAACGCCCAAATTGATAATGGGTCTGGGCGATGGCACCGTCAATCAGCGTTCTCTACGGGCTTGCAAGTATTGGTCCGGCTATACCAGCTCGCCTATCAACACTCTGGCCCTCCAGGGAGTGGACCACATGCATATCCTGTCCAATCCAGATGTCCTCAAATATGTTCGCACTGTCATGCAGCAGCCGTAATGTTTAGTGTTCTGTTGTAATAGCATAAGCGTTTCTTGATTTTAAAACTATAAAACCAATGCCAATTAATTAATGTTAAATAAATGTACTTCGCTAAGTAGCACAAATATAAAGAGAACCTGTTTTTTTTTTGGATTTTCTTTAATTTCTCTTTATTGTTATCTTATTGATTTATGCTTATAAGATGAGATATCGAATCACGTGTGTCAATGTCAATGCATAACGCTTTTATTACTCAATAGTGTTTCATTTTTCCTCTTGGTTTTATTCGTTTTTATTGTTTTCCATTTTCATTTTAATAAATTGTTTATATGTATTTTACAAAGCGTTTACTTAGATGTATTCCATTTTTAATTATACCGAATAATTTGTTAGTTATTGCACTAATATTTAATTTCTTTCACTTTCCTCCCGCCTCCACTTTGCTAATTTATTGTAGTTGACATTGTTCTTTTACTCTTGGTATAATTTTTTTGCATTTAAAGTATGCTCTCGCTTATGTACTCCGATATCTGGATAGATATAGAAAAAAGTGTTTTGTTTTGGTTTTGGTTGCAATTAGGATAAAACTAAGGTTGTCGAATGATTTGAGTGTTTCGCATTTAGTTTTTTCGATAAAATCAAGAAATATATATTTACAAATTGGTTTGCTCATACAAAAATCGCTGTCGTAGGCTAAATTTGTGGACATTTTCGCTAGAGATTTGTTTTCTGGCTGCGGGTCATGTTTTTTTTGGTTTTCTTCGCTTTTTTGGGCTTACAAAGCATATTTAATTCGTAATTTGTTTAGGTGAGCCATTTGTGCGGGTGTGTTGTTTATTTAATCGTTAGCTAAATATATACATACTCATTTATATATTTAGTATATATTTGATTTATGTTGCTGTATGTGGGTGTGTGTGTGTGTGCTTGGTTGTGGGTGTGTGTAAGTGTTGAGAACTGGACTTAAAAAACAATGTCTTTCGGTTTTTTGTCAGTATTTGATTTTTGGTTTTCCACTGTTCTGCTTTTGTTCAACAAAATTTGTGCTCTCGTTCCATAGTTGCAGTTAAGGTTTTACATATATAATGTTCGGATATTATTATATATATATATAACTATAATATGACCTTTTATTTTCATTGACTCAAATCAAAGTGATTCTGAAATCGATACCCCAAAAAGTACGCCACTTCCGCGTTTGTGTTCTGTTTCAAAGAGTTTTTTACGTTTAGTATAAAAAATCATTTTATCGAAAGTATAAAAATCGTATTTAGCCATAGTGTCTCTTCTAGATCTCGTATCTATTTTGGTTTCATTACATTTCTTTTTCGTCTCTATTAAATCTTTGTTTTTTGTTTTTGTTTCGTTTTCTTAGCAAAAGCGGGTGTATCTTCTTCAAGCAGGTATTCGAATGTTACTTGGCAGGATTATTATTTTCCATAGTATATATATATTTTTGTTAGTAAATAGTTTTATAAAAGCTTAGTGTGTGGAGTGTGTGTGTGTGTGTTTGTGTGTGTGTTGTGTTTGGTGTGTATTGTTTGTTTTATGTGGTTTGTCGGGTGTTCTAGGCCGTTTTTTTCTGTTCTGATTTATTTAATTAGTTTCTTGTTTGGTTTTACAGCTAATATGCTCTGTTATTGTATTATCTGATGCAATATATATATAAATATATATATATATAGAACTCACATTAGGCGACATTGACGACTTAGCGGACTAGTTAATTAATTACTGGCTGCTCAATAGGTATCTACAATGGAATCCGTTACGTTACGTTACCAATGGGAATGATATCAAAAATGATTATTGTTAAATACATATCTTGTAGTATGTTCTTTTGTTTTTTTTTCTTGTTTCTTTTCCATTCTGGTAATTAAATTAATTAAAGCTTTTTCGTGTGTGGATTACTCGTGTCGGTAATATTTTCCGCATATCTTCCATTCATGGTTAACGCATAAATTGTCTGAATTCAAAAAACCAGTCAACAAATCAGAGTGATTGTAAATGAAGTCCTATTTACAATTGAATATTTTCTACTTACTCGCTTAGTTACACATAGTATTTTCATTTCAATCTGATCGTATTTTGAGTGTCATATCTCATCTTGGGGATTCTTTAACTAGGCTCCTACAATGCGTTCGCTAATCAGATTTATTCAGAATGTCGTTAATACAATTGAATTGCCATGAATATTCAATATTGCTAATAACAGTTCCCTCTGGATCGTATCGTATCAGATCGTATCTGATCGATATATATATATATATATATATACATATATATTAACCCGATGCCGGAAGGAACCCTGATTGGTGATTCGGCTGGCCGAGACTACGATTATTGCATAACAACTGGCCACTGATGCTTATTCCGGTTATCCTAGTAATCGTTCCTAGAATTTAGCTAGCTTTTTAGCTTACTGGCATTTGCGCTACTCATTTTGAATTGGATTAAATATCTACGGCTAGTTAAAGGTAATAATTATTTCCTCTGTGGCTCTAATTTATCCAAATCATCATCACATATCAAAAAGTTTACAAAAATTTCACTTTAGCTACGTTTCTTTGTCGCTTCTGTTTTTCTGTTCTTTGTTTATTTTTGCTTAGCGATTACGTTAATGTTTATTAAATTTCGTGCGCTTCGAATAAAACAATAACAATAGTTCATTTCTCTAACGCTATTAGCCCTCAATAACTGTTACTTTCTCGTTTGATAACAACTTATTTGTTATGTCGTTCGTTAATGATTAACATAATCAACGTGTTGATATATATATTTGAAATAAATTAGTTCGCTTCGCTTGTGATTTACAGACATTTGCATGTTGCTCAGCGCATTTATTGACTAACATTGGTTACCATTCTTGGGCTACTTTTCATTTCGGGTTTCTTTCCTTTTTTTTTTTTCTTTTTTTGTAGTGTACGTGTGGGCATGTAAAAGGCATTTGTTTGGTTTTTATTTCATTTGTTGTGATCTTTCTCCCTCAGATTTACCAGATCTTGCACTTTGCTGCAGGAAGAACTCAGCCGAAGGTCCTGAAACCAGAATGTGTCTCAGTTCATTTGTTGAGCAGCGGGTGAAATTTTGGTGAAATAAATTCAGTTTTTTTAGACGGTGTTCCAATTGCGCATATTTATTTATTTTTTTTTTTTTTTTTATTATTCCGATAAACCAAAGCGTGATCTCGAGGCTTATTCAAGTTAGTGATATAGTTTTTTTGATGTACTCGTATTTTACTTGCATATATGTTCTCAACAAAATTGACAAATCCAAACTGATTTTAAAAACTAATATTGCTCTTGGTTGGTTTTGGTTAAGAGTTGATTCGTTTCGTATTTGGTTTGCTTGTATAGCCAGTATATCTCTTGTGCTCTAACAACAATTCCTTAAAAGCTTAGACTTTCGAAACGAAATAAGTGGGCTTAAATGATAAGTCAACAGAATATAGTGTCTAATTGATGTAACAATTGCTTTTGTTTTATGTTTATTTTAGATCCATTGTTGGGGATCAGGTTAACCCACGCGCACGCTAATAATTTTCCAAGTTCAATGCTACGTACTATATATATAGAAGTACCATATATATAGACAGACCAACCGGACTTGGTAAAGCGAGAGGAATAGGAATCTAGACTAAAAACAAAGGTTTCGGCGTGCGCGCCTTTTTATCTATTTGATCTGACCACTATATATCAACATGATTCTCAATTATAGTACTTTATTTATCAACTTACTATACAAGCTCTCGCGTCCCCTACGTTTTCATTTCATTTTTAACAATATTTTTCCTCTGTTGAAACATTTTCGAATACAACTTTAGGCCTAAGTTGAGTTCAGCTTGTAAGTAAAATGCTTGGCATAGAACTTGGTTAGTTATTAGAAAAGAAAGACGAACATTTTGTCAAATTCAATGATCAATAATAAATTGTTATTTCGCTAACCGAGTTATATGCCAAACACCTAACAACTCTTATGTATTTATTTATACAAATTTCCAAATCAATTACTTTGGTGTATTGCAAAAATGTGCGAATGTCTGTGTGTGTGTGTGTGTAGCTGGTGTGTGTATAAAAAATTGTTTACTAACATTTGTTGTTTACGTTTTTAGCATATATAAATTGTACAACTATGAACTTCCATCCAATGATTAGGGATTCGTGATTCGTGTATCGACTGTCGATCGAAATGGAATCTTTTGTTGATATCGCAAATGAGAACAGCGACCAAAATAACAGGGATGCAAACCGTTAAGGAATTCAACCTACCATCCTAATAAGGCTAGTGGTTTGGTCTTTTACGTCTTCGTTTTATAATGATTACATATTTGAATTTTAAGAAAATCAAATTGAAGAAATTTATCTGAACACATTGTTTCTAGAATTAAGATTTTTAGTGATTGGCAAGGATATAAAATTAGCATTAAAAAAGAAGAATTGAAATCGAAGAAAATCTCCTTAGATCTTCCTTACTTTAAGACAAAAAAATTCTACTCTAACCCTCTGAACCGAACCACATCTATAAATTCTGAACTCATCCCAATATTCCCTCGGCTTGCATCCCTGAAGTAAGTTAGCCAGGCACATGTTGGATCTCCGAGTGGACTGCCACGCCCAGTGTCAGACGTCCTTGGGCGGCTGGGCGACGGCGGTCGAGGAGGAGCTTTTCTGCTGCTGCCTCCTCTCCCGCCAGCGATCGATGGGCGTGTAGCAACATCGGAAGAAGGGAGGAGCCCTCGTCGTCGCAGAGGAGGAGCTGCTCCCGCTGCAGTTGCTCATCTTGGCCAGCGATTCGACGGTTAGCTCCGTTTGCACACCACTGGTGGTCAGCCGGGTCTCCGTCTGGTATTCGAATTGATACCTCGGCGGCGGATTACCAGGATGACCAGAGGCAACCAATGGTGGCGGTGCCCCCGCCTTGCAGATGACACTGGGCGGCTCCATCTCGTGCAGCTCGAAACTGTTCGAGCTGCTGTTGGTCGAGTGCCGAAACTCGTGGGAGCTGCTCTCGACCATGGTGGCAGTGCGGTAGGTGGCGGCAAAGTAGTTTGTCTCCAGGTAGTGGCAGGACTCGAACAGGTAGTCGTCGAACTGGTGCTGCGGCAGGATTAGCGAACTATCGCCGGAGGCGAACCGCGGCCCCAGTCGATGTGACTGCGTGGATGGCGAGGCCGGCGGTGCAGGCGAGGGTGGCGGCATCATGGTGGCCAACGAACTGGACGCCATCGGCGGCCGCTGACCTCTTTGCTTCATATCAACAATTTCTATTTCTTCTATATCACTAAAACTATTTAACTGTTTCAACAAATAATGCACATCATTTCGTTTCGTTTGATTATCCTCGTCGTGGTGGGGATGATCATCGTCGTCGTCTTGGACGTTGTGGGTATTTCCCGGATCCAGCTGTTCATCCGTCGCCGTTGCTGGAGATTTGGGTGCTTGAAGTGTTAATGGTGTGCTGACAACGGCGTCCGTTCCACGATCCAATCTGGGGTTACCCTGGAGGTTGCTGATCTGCTTGGCCGCATCATGTAGCTGGTGGTGTTGGTGTTGCAGCTGCAACTGCTGATGTTGCTGTTGTTGATGTTGATGTTGCTGCTGCAGCGACTGCTGCTGTTGTTGGGTCACCAATTCCGGATAGGCCAGGTTGAAGCGTTGCTGCAATGTGGCACTGCTCAACTTGGGCAATCCAGAGTAATCAACGGCCACGGGTGGCCGCTCCAATGTGGAGTCAATGATGCGATTGAATTTAGCTAATGCACTGCTCGCTGCTGATGAACTGGATGTTGTGGTGGTGACCTTAGCATTAAGTTGTTCATTGTTAAGAGGCACTGTTGTGACGGTTTCTAGGTCTAGGTCCTCGTCCTCGTCGACATCCTCGTCCACATCATCGATGTCGACGCCATCGCGCAACGTTTCCTGCACATTCAGATTGAGATTGAGGTGCAGCTGCTGGCGTAGCAGCAGGCGGCCGGTCTTCGTCTCCACGCCGGGGATATTGGGTGGCGCCAACGCATCCTGATGGCCACCGCCCAAACCACCCCGACCGGCGGCAATCACCGCCGCCGCCCGCTGCTGGGCCAAGTTCGCCTTAGCCAAGTTCTTTTGCAGTATCAGCCGCCTCGACGAAATGATGGCATTATTGTCGCTCCCCCGCGATTACCGGCTGTCGCGGGTGGAGCGAGGCCGCCCCTAACTGGACGTGCTAGCGATCGGCGAGACGGGTGACAGCGGACTGCGGGCCTGTTCGCGCGGACATCCGGTTAGTGTGATCACCAGCTTCCGGGATCCGGCCTGGTCGCGGTGCTCGCACAGCCAAACGCCCTGCCACGTGCCCAGCGACAGCTTGCCATCGGTGATCGGGATTGTCAGGGAGCTGCCCAAGAAGCAGGCCTTCACGTGCGCAGGCTAAAAGGATATTGAATTAATTAATAGATCTTTTGTAATCAATAGAACTCCTTACCATATCATCGGGTCCCTCGCACGAATGCCTGTAGGGCAAACCTTCGGGAACTATTTTATTCAACATCATCTCCATGTCGTCTCTGCAAGGCAATCGTTCGGATAGGATACATTGTAAGTAATCGAACACATCCACTTACCTGACGTCTGGATCCCAGCTTTCGTTTAACGCTAAACTCGCCGAGGTGTGAAGAACTGAAAGCAAGAAACAAGCGCACAAACAAAGCCAATTAGTTAGTCTGTGGGATTAATAATAATCTTTATAATGATTAGCCCCCCAGTTATTAGACCATCACGACGAGGCGTTGGCTCCCCAACATTGGCTCCATGCATTTCCAATTGAGTTGTAACGCCAATTAGTCAAAATGTATTGCCCCTGGCCACACTCGCTGTGTTTCGATATGCTATTGCTTCTGATAAGGTATTATGAATCCATCATGAGTTATGTGACAAGACATGGAATGTATGATATGGACAATTTAACTGGGGAGGAATTCCCATTACTTGGAGTGGAAAAGTCAATGAATTGGGAGCAATTGTACAAAGCGGAGAATGAAAAATATAAGTAAATCGTCAGCCTTTAATTGGCCGTAAAGCTTGGGGCATCTTGTAAAAGTGTTAAGTGGGATGGCTTTTAATTGTTCGTTCATCTCTTCTTTCGTTGGCAATGTTTTTCCCACTTAGAAAATATATCTAAACTCTCCAAGAGTAAATTCATTTTGCTCGATATTGCAAAAATTTAAATTTAAAAGATTATAAAGGTTTTAGAAGAAATATCAAATTAATCACAGGTTAATGCTTAGCCATAAAAGATTATACAATCACGAAACAAACATCGGTCTTTTTCATTCCGAAACAGATTTGTTTTGCCATTTCGAATGGAATTCTTTGACAAAAATTTATGATATGACCCGAAATAAAACACAAAACACGAGCATGTTTGGAGTTGAAAATTGAACAATAATTGCCTGCTTTTTTGGCGGCTCGGAATTGGCAAACTGCCAACGTTGAAAATGTCAAGCTATGCAATGAAAGCCGACTCGAAATTGAATATTTTACTCCAAATGAATTTAGTTTCAATAATAGATAGGTATATTGTATATACAAATAGCCGACCAACACGATAAACACTTGAATTTGCACACTAATTGCGTATTCATGAATAAAAGAGAAAGCTGCTGGCAGCTGGAGAAGCCGAGCGAAAATTAGTTTATTATCAAATCCCAGAGATGTAATTTTCCGGGCCCCGAGCAGAGACTTGAAATGTGAATATCACATACTTGTATATGTAGGTATTTAGATATAGACACACATGTCCAAGTTCCGATTTCAGAAAGGGGCAAATCGCGTTGGCAAACGCACAGCCCAGACCCACTTTCTTTCTAAATAATTTCCGAGGCGATTATGTCATGTTGAACATATGTAAATGGCATCAGGATTTTAAATATTACCCATGGACAAATCCGGGCAGCGGGGATGCACTCTCGGACAATGCAAATGAAAATGAAACCAAAGTGACATTTGACGCGGGGAGGGGCTCAGCAAATTTGCAAATTGATTGCGGGATGGGATTTGATTGGGAATGAGAGTGGTAATGGTAACCAGGACGAAGAATGAGGATGAGGAACGAAACGACATGAAATCTTTTGGTTGGCCTATAAACATGGTCTATATCGACGGAGGGATATATCCCACATATCTGCATATAAAAATTAATCAACTAATGTCATGGAATACCTTCCCAAAAATAACTGCATGCTTTAAGAAGCTGAAAAACTACTTTACTTTCCAACTATCTTATATGGTATATTTGTTAATATTAAAAGAGGTTACTTAAAAAGCTAACTTTTTTCTCCGAGTGCCCTTCACCAGCGCCATCTGAAATATGTTAATGGTCTAAACATAATTGTGTGTGTCTGCAATGCTGCTTTTGAGTGGCATTTGGAGTTGTCCGTGTCTCTGTCTCTGTCACCGTCCTTCTGGCCATCTCTTTCTTTCTTTGCCCGCATTCCGTGCACATTTATTCCGTGTCCCCAACTTTTTAGCCCGCTCAACTGGCGCATCCGCCTGGAATACTCGACTGACACTTTTTCCATTGCACCAAACGCCAAACACAAATGGAACGCAGGCAGTAGGCGTTAAAGGGCTCCTTCGGAGCGTTAAGCTGGTGGCCAGGCGGAGGATGCCACTAATATGATTTAGCTATGGGCTTTGTGGTCGGCAACACGGTGGCTTGCAGGGAGGGGATTCTATGTTTGCCTACGGCTGCCATTGCCAACGTGCCCAGAGCGCTAATAAACGTTAGTGTGCTTACAAAAAAATATATCCCATATTCGTACATAAAAAAATAAGATTACCAATAAATTAAAAGATAACTTTTAATATTAAAATGATAATCAAACTATTCTTTAGTGGTGAGTTTTGTTTGTTTCTTGAAAACATTTCCTCAACACTATCCTCAAATCCCATCACTAGATTTTCTCTCAGTGCAGTACGCATAGTTAAGTAGCAGGTGGCATCGTTTTGGCCGGCTGTTTAGATGTTTAGTTGACTGTGTGTGTGTGTGTGTGAGTGTCGGAGTGGGTGGCATCGGGTGGATTTGGGTGGGGGTTGGTGAAGCCGTGCCTGTGTCCTGGGTACAGGCACATGTAGCAGGCGTTTAGGCACTACAAAAGTTGCTAATGTTTTTAAAGAGGCCTTTTTATTATACAAAGTCAAACATTCTGACAGCACAAACAAGCTGAGGGAGAACACACACAACCACACCCAGCTGCATATATACAACCGCAACGGACCCACACAGGCACAAACACAACCGAAGGAGTACCCCAGTGTTTAACAATGGACTCAACACAACTCAACTTGACTCAGCTCAGCTGGCTGTGTTCATTCATATATTCATGCAAACACGCACTCAGACTGAGATACGCCCGCACAGCAGCGGTCGAGTTTCTGGTTCCCAAGGATATAGAGGAAATTCCTGGAAGCTCCTAGCTTAGTCCTAGTAGGGAATAATTAATAAGATTCTTGTAAGGAATAAACCAATCCAGAATAAATCTAAAAAAACAAACAAAAACCCTTTTTGTATTGCATATTTAAAATATGCTTAAATTATTGGAATGCCTAAAGTTAAAACCCCTGAGTAGGCATTTTTTAAACCTATTTTAGCTCTATCATAATAATAACACCATCATAACCTAATACTATATGGTAATTTTATGTAATTTCTAAACATTAATCCCATTTATTTGTCCACCGTTGTACGCCACCAAAAAGCACGTGAGTGTGCGGTTAGTGCAGATGTGTGTGTGTGTGTGCGCATTACATAATGTAAAGCTGAAGGAAATGCTTAAATTCATCAACCTTCTTATTACATAGCCGTTGAGTTTCACGCTTATCCTAAGACTCCAGCCCAGAAATCTCTGAACACAGTGAGAAATCGGTGGTTGGCTATTCTTATTTTTGTGTCAGGTGCTGGAGAACCGGAATGAAACGGAATAAAACTAGTTCAAGCACATGCCGATACGATTGGAAAATCGGAAAAGCGGGCCAGGACGAGCAAAAAAAAAGGCAAGAAAAACCTTTGGCGTGCTCGTTTTGCATAAATAATATTGATTTATTGGGTAGCGCAGCATTTTGCGGTTCATAAGCGAGCAATTTTAATGCTAAAGGAGCCAAAATGGAGGAACAAAGGAATAAGAATAAAGAATAAACGGAAGCCCAAAAGTATGACACACACATGGCACGATTTGTTTTCCTTTTTCCTCTTCCTCTACCATTTTTTCCACTTTTTCCATTTTCCCCGTTTTTGTTTTTCCTTCGTTCGCAGTTTCCCTGTCGTCACGAAAGCAAAAAGAGAAATGGCCGAGTACGCCCACACAAATATATCCCTAATGTTAAAGGCTCCGAAAACTCCCGACTCTATAGAGCCATCCTACCCCACCCACAATTGGTTTCGCTTTCGCTGGCTGTTGATTTATTTGGTGTTGCTCCTCCACAAAGGACACTCCGCACAGAGTCCTTTCCCTTGTGCTTGTGCTGTGCTCTTGCAGCTCTTTCGGTTTGGCTGAAAAATATGCGCGGGTTATAAATTGAAGTTGAGCCATTTATATGATCTTGCGATTATGCAGCAAATTGCTGTCGAGGATGGACCTCCCACCACTGTAGTCCTCTAACCCAGCGGCTCCATGAAGTCGGACATGGTATCGTGGATCAAGGGACTTCTTAAAGTTTTTACTTTAATGATGTGCTCCACAAAGCAAAATATGATGTTAAAGGATATGATGTTACAATATATTGTTGGTCTAAAAGTAATAAATTTGGAGGCCTTAAAGCACCTAACTCTTAATCTCAAACCAAGAACTTGTTTTAAGCTTCCAAAATTCTAGAAAACCTAATAATAGACCTCCCGATTTCTATCTACTTTGACTTCCTTCGAATCTAACCTTTAAATGTGAGATTAAGCAAAAGCCAAAACAAATCATCAACTGCCCCCCAGGCAGGCAATTAGCTTTGCCCAACACATAAAAATATATATATTTGTATACATATATATATTCCGAGGTCCCCTCTATATTGGGGTTACAGAAAACCCCGATGGGGCATTGTGTGGTCAGTAGGGTTCGGTTCTATAAGCGGACGACCTTCCTTGCCGCACATATGAATATTAATAAAAAAAAAAGAAATAAGGAAAACCAAGTCGCATAGAGGGGAAATATTTGCCTGGCTCAGGTGGAAAAGTCGGAACCCGGGTGGATATATCATTTTTCAGCATTTCCCCGCATTCCATTACTTTTTGTTGTGTTTAACAAGTTACCTTTACATTTGGCTTATATTTTTGTGTATTTGTGATTTGTGTGCCCTCTTGGCCACTTTTCCTCCTCCCCATTCTCCTCGCTTTTCCCCATAGAAACAAAAGGAGGTGGGGTGGCGGAAAATGGGGGGCTATTGAGGTCAATACTAAAAGACAACAACATATGGCAAGGTTGCTTTGAAATTATTTTCCTTTTTTTCTCTGGAAATTAACTTTTTGTTGCTTCTCCTTGGAGCAGAGACGACGAAAATGGAAAAGGAAAGAAAGAGTCGCCTTTCATTTGCTTGCATTTATTTACTATTTTTTACTATTTTTTGCATTGAAGGGAAGGGACGGAGAGGAGGAGGGGTTAAGCTTCCCTTAGTAAAGTGTGTCTAATTAGGAAGTCCTTTTAAGAAAATCAATAAACATGTCTTGACCTCAATTAGATTCCGCTTACAGTTCACAAAACAATACACGTACAGTGAGCACCCCAGACAACAAACACGCACACAGCATGGTTGACTAAAAGGGGGGCTCGGTGTAGGGACAAGGGGCAGGGACACACGTGCTTTTGATTTGGCAAAAAATAAAGGAGAGAACAAGAGCAAGCAAGAGCGAAGGTTCGTAATAATAAAGACTTGCCTGCAATGTGCTGGCTAAGACGATTTGTGTGAGCCACACAGAAAGAAAATTATCTTCGGAAAACTGTAAACTATATTGCCCTAAAAAAGTTATACATTTTCTAAAGAAAAAGCTGAATTATATAGTTGTTTTCATAATGGAAAGAGAAAATTTACTACATATTTTACGAAACTAAAAAAAGATTCTTATTATTAAGAACTTTGCCTTTCGCATTGCTTAAATATGATATCAGAAAAGTTAATTTTCAAATCATTCTATAATAAGTACAAATGCTTACGAAACTAATATTATTTTTTTCAGTTTTTCATTAAAAATAAAATTGAAAAGCCTCCTTAGCTCTTTAAATTCAAGAAGCATAGTTTTTTTCTGTGCAAACGCAAAGCATAGGGGGCTGGCATGGAAGTAGAAAATACCAAAATGGGGGAGGGGATGAGGCTCAAGGAATAGGGAGGGGGCTGGAAAAGTTCGCCTCGAGCATTCACACGCCATAGCCACAGACCATGACATGCAGACATGAGCGACGACTGCGACTAAGACGACGATTGCTTTTCACTTTAGTCAGGCCAACTCCCGGCTAAAGCCCCTCCATTTTTCCGACCTTCTCCCCCCACAACTGGCGCTTTATGATACGATTTTATTTATTTGCCCAGGACAGAACGAGATGGGTAGAGAGAACCGGAGAGAGGGAGACAGAAAGCCGCAGGATGGAGGAACGCGTCCTGGCATTGTAATGCGAACTGTCAACAAGAAGCTGCCTCCAAGGCAGCCAACTACGGAGGTTGTTTCTCTGTTTGCGCTGCCTGCTCGTCGTCTTAGTGCTATACTAGCCTACACTGTAAGGAATACTGTTTAACTTCAGTTCAAACTATCACTGAAGGGCCCACCAATATTAAGAAGGCGTTAACTAAATCAGAGATACTTAAGCTTTAGATAATTAGGATTATTTAAATTAAAAATGTTTCATTTACTTCAGGTGTTAAGGCAAAACTGGGTTGTAAGAAAGTTCAAACTATGAATTTTTATCCTTTTCTTTTTTCTATGGTGTATATACTAATTTTTTCCAGTGTATCTACTTGGAAAGCGGGGATTCCACACGAGAATTAGTGTGCGAAGTGCAGCCGTGGCAGCGCACAAAAAGAAATACTTGGCAGAACTGCAATCCGGAGATTATTGCGAATGCATTCCGAGGAAAGGAATATAAAACTTCAACAGGGACTCAAATCGCTTGGCGTCTGATGTGTGTGGACATCCTGTCAAGCGACACATTGCACTTAAGGTATAAGTGAGAAAATGCAGTGGACTAATGGTCATTCAAATGTTATTTATAATTTGAAAAAGTAACATTTTTTAATATTCTTGAAAATCACATTGTTTTCCATAGAATATCTGACAGAACGATTCGCCTTTCACGTAGGAAATAGTTTAAACACTTTAGTTTGGCAGGACCTCTTGTATATGTAGGTCACAGCCACACGATTTAGTCACACGAAAAATCCGACTATTTTCAAATGTCAATCGCAATTTTCGGGGTCCCAACGAAAGACACAAAGGAGTGACCGGGCCAAGTCAGTCAGTTGATCTGTGTAGTTTAACCCAGTTACTGGCTAGCACAAATTAGCAGGGGCAGCCAGCCAGCCTCGTTCAAATCCTGCAAATCCTGTAAGTTTCGGTTGCTACTTCTCTAAATTCAACGACATTTTGTGCTGATTTGGTATGCAAGTTCCACATTTCGCTGTTTGTCCAACTGAACTTTCAACTAAATGCAAACGCCTTGGCCATAGCACAGAGATTCCCCTCGAGAAATTCAATCCGAACAAAGAAAATGTAATGTCAGGAAAGTTTTCTATTGCCAGAGTCTGAATACCCTTATGGATGACTTCTTCTGATAGATTAAAGTACTACATTTCCAACCAACTCGAAGTGTATACATCGGCAGGGAATGGAATAAGATGGATGCGATGGAAAATGAGTGGCTGCGAAAATAGAAGAGAAAGATTTCCCAGCTGCTCCCCACGATTAACTGACATTTGAGCCCCGAATTTCGGGTAATCACTTAGGAAGGCGCAGCCGAAAAGGTGCCAAAGATGTGCTAAATGGCTAAATAACGACCCCCCAAACCGCGGAAATAATGTAAGCGATACTATTTTGGCAGGGATTTCTTTCGGCCAGCTGTTTAAATACAAGTTTCTGTATAAAAAAAACCAATTGGTAATATCTTAAAGGAAAATCTTTCTTAAGAAGAAACCCAGCAACATATAGTCTTTACTCACTTTGCATATGACATAATCCCACAGAGAAGTGCGCCAACTCCGGCATCTGTCGGAGTATCTCCTCGGTGACCAAATGGACGCCACGATGCTGCGGTCTCAGGTTGATTTTACGCTGAAACCAGGCGGAACCAATCTGGAGACCAACGATCGCATTGCCATCAGCTCCGGCACCAGCGACGGCACCACCGCCACCACGTCCGCCGCCACCTCGGTGATTGGCCGAGGCCATGGTGCTATTGGAGCTGCTGCTCCGGATGTTGCTATTTCGGCTGACGCTCTGCTTGACTCCACCGCCGCCACCGCCTCCTCCTCCGCCGGCGCTGCCAGCTCCACCGCTGCCGCTGGTCGCTTTCGTTGTGCCGGCGTGTGGATTACTGCTGCTACTGCGACGTCGCTGGCCGCTCCGTCCGCCGCTCCTCTGGTGGCCTGGAGCTGTTCCTGATCCCGCTCCCGCTCCTGATCCTGATCCCGCTCCCGCACCTGATCCTGATCCTGCAGCAGCGGCAGCAGCAGCAGCGGCGGCGGCGGCAGTCGACGTCGATGGTTTTGTGGACGACGTTGTGGCTTCTCCGGTATCCGGACGCACTCACACGCACACGCACACTTGGCACACTTAATGCACTTAACACACTGACAGGATTCAAGGACTGAAGGACTCGAGGACGAGCACTCGACTCCCACAAGTTGTTGACTTTTGCACTGGTTTTCACAGCGGATTGGCTTTCACTTTTGGCCTTTCAAACCTTTTTGCCGGTTTAATTTATTCTATGTTATTGCCACTTGTTTACGTTATCAGCAACTGGAAAACAAAGAGATAAGAAAAAGTCGGTTAGTAATGGGAAAGCACTTTTGACTTAAAACTATTCAACTTAACTACATACAAGTACTATTAACGGCCTTTAAAAACAGAAACCATTATACTAAATCAATTTTTTCATTTCAATGGAATAAATGTTTCAACATTATTTTGGTTAAACATTTGAATCATTGTTATATATAAATTACTCTTTCCAGTTGATTATACTGTTGGTTTTGTGGTCTTTATTATATATGAAGGTCCAATAAATTGCTAAAAAGATTTTTACTGACCAGTTAGATCTTCAACCTAAGCTACCTTTTATGGTCCCAGAGACTCCTCTCTGACTTGTTCAAATAAATCAAATATTAGTGTTTGGGCGGTGTTGCTTCAGTTTGTTTGCGTGGAAACATCTCAATTAGTAGTTGCTATTAAGAGTAGTGAGAACAGAGAGTCGTACTATTGGGAGCGCCCACAATCAACAAGTTTTTAATTGCCAAGCGCAAACAGCAAAACGAGATTGTTATGGTTATCAATGTGCCAGAGGTGACCCCTCAAAGCATTTACCAAATGAGGAGTAGGCTACACCAAATGTTGAATTGAGTGGCTTCATTTCTATTACCCTAAATGGTTTCATTAATTTTATAATTTCATTAGGGATATAAACCTAAGATGGCCCTGAGTTTCTGCCTTTTCTACATTACTTTAATCTGTGATGGTAAATAAACATATTGCATTAGCAAGTAACATTGCTAAGTAACATTTTAGAAAGTATTTTATAAAAAAGAAGGTGGAATAATTGTGCTGTGATATTAACAGTTTTAAGATATATTTTTTTAGCTCCATCTAAATATGAAAACCAAAACTGAAGACGCTTAATAAAATTAAACATTTAAATTTAAAACTTCTTGTGTCTGTCTTTATGTCATATATTTGAAACTGCAGTTCACACAGCTTCAAGGAAACTCTGCAGAAGGAGTCACACGGCAGCGAACAGTCGAAAAGTGGAGTAAAATTTGAAGCGGCATAATGAGCACGTGTCGCCCAAGTGGGCCAAAAGGGGGCGGGGGAAAATGGGCGGATTTTGGAGGAAGGGTGACAAGGACATGGGATTGTTGGCCCGGGAAAGCGTTCGTGCGAAATGGAAACAGCAGCTAGGAAAAGGCACGAGACGGTGCAGGATAGACAAGCATTGCATTGCAGACACATGGCATCAAGGAAAACGCTGTTTAAGAATCTTTCTTCCTTCACCTATACATACACACAAGTATACACATATACACGCATATACACACACACGCGCCTTTTCCCAAGTTGAGTGCACTCACATAACGAAGCAATCGAAATGCATTTGAATCGAGGAAAACGGGGAAAATGGGAACATGGAGATGGAAGCCACAGCTGCTGCAAAGGAAAAACCACGACCAGTGTGAGTGATTTCGGGTGTCGGTATTTGGGTAAGCAGTAAAATACTAAAAAAGAGGAAAAACCAAAAAAAGGCTTTGGCTCACAGACCCCAAAAAAAGGAAGTAAAAGAGGTATCCTCTACCACACAAAACGATTTACACGACACTAAAGGCGGTTGGGAAAGCGGGCAAAAGCTGTCAAATAGAGATGAGCCGCCGGGCAGGACGAAGGTGTTACATTATCGGGATTAGACATTCTTTCTTCTAAGTTTATTTTGGGAAAACTTCTTCAAATCCTTCTTTATTGATAAATATCTAGTTTCCTTAATGGAACTCCATTTTTAAATGGCGTAAACGAATAATTTTGTTTATCAGAACTTTTATTGATTACATGAATTAGCTTAATTTTATTATTAAATATCTTAAAAAAAATCTAGAAACTCGATTAAAAACTCCCTATTTTTCGGAAAGTATCCACAATTTGTTTATAAAAGTGTGTTAAATGAGTGGACTCTCTCATCTCTGGCTAACTCAACAGAACTAAGGAGCCGAAGGTGTGTCATCAGGGGCAGGGGTAAAGCAACAGCTACAACAAGAACAACATGACGAACCACCACAACACCAACAACAGTGGGAAGCGCGTTACGGCCGCGGCCAGGTAAAGGTACTTTATTTCTTTTACTGGGCCACTGTTCAAATTTGCATATGCTTTAAATATTTAATGTAATTCAAAAAGAGGAGACAACAGCGCCAACAAGAATCTGGCAATTGGACAAAGCCCGGTTCGGGCATAATCCAATTGGACTGACAAACACATCGCTCTCTCCAGTTGAATTCCCCAAAAAAAGAAACCAAAAATACAAAACAAACAAAAGAACACATGAAATGCTCGCGCATTTGGCAAAAAATCAATTTTCCATGTGATTGCCAAATGCAATGTTTTTCTTTTCGGGGAAATGTAGAAATAGGGAACACTGAGAAAGTTTTCCATTTTAATCAACACCTTAACGCATCTTTTACGTTCTTTTTTGGTTTTTAGTTCTGCTAATTATTGACATAACAAATGTGGTGGAGCTGCCACCATGCTTTTTCCACTAACACACGCAAACACAATGAATACTCCGATGACAGCACACGCGAAATTCCCTAAAAAGAAGAAACTCCCAAGAAATGGGGGGGAACTGATGTTTTCTTTCTGGCACTTTGCTAACCGGAAAATTGAGAATCGAATCACGTAAGCATAAAAACCTAAATGCACTTAATTACATTTAATTTGCCGAGCCTGCTGCGTTGTCTTTTGTTTTATTTAACGACTGATTTCAGACCGCATCGAATGACTTGTGGGGAGAGTAACCTTTATAGAGCCACCGACTTCTGACGTCGAACGCTCAGCGCTGTCATTTTGGTTCGACGTCGAGTTGGCACTGAACATCTGATTGGATCCCGAGGTGAAATGTGCGAGGGAAACGGCACTGTTAACTCGACCCATAAACTGCGCTTGCGGCAGAAGAGCATAGATATATGTAGCCGGCGCAAAAAAAAACCGAAACTCACCTTCGCGCGCTTTTTAAACATTTTTTATGGTATTTAATTTAAGCTTTTAAAATTTCTAAGTTTTTTTTGACAAAGCGGTAAAAATTATAGAAATAATAATATTTTTACCGATCATTTATTATATCCTAAATAATAGAACCGTTAAAAAAATAAAACTAAAAAGAATTCGTTTGTTTTGAAAAAAAATATTTTTTGGAAATTTTTGAGGAATAAGTGACGTCACGAAGCACCCGTTAGTTCGACGTCAACCAATACACATACACGTTGGCAATTCGTGTGCACGAACACAAGCAAAATTCGTATTCACGTTTTTCATTCAAACTTCATTCCAACTGCCTCGTTCGGTTCGACGACGCTCTCCGAAAACTGCAAGCTGGAGAGAAAATTACCCAAATGGGGCGCGGATTTAAATCTTGTTAACAACAACAATAATGAATTTTTTGAATATAAATGGTTTATTTATATAATTATATATGTGTCAGATTAAGTATTAGACTAGTAAAGTAATAAATCATATACATGATATACGTATGAATACATAAATATTAAAATGTTTCCTAGAGTCGGACTTTAAGCTGTCAGAAATCTGAAATTAATATACAAACCAATATTTGAGAAGAAAAAGTTAGATGCTTGTAAAGAATTTTAGTTTTGAAACAAAATATGTAAGCGAACAACAAAGGGAAAGATTTATAGCACAGTTTCTTTCCATATTTTTTTATACATTCAATTAAAAATCATTTAATTAAACGAAATCCTTGTGATAGGCAGTGAAGATTTCAGCATACAATCCACACTGAAATCTATTTTACCAAAAGGAAATAGCTCAACAAGTCACCAAACTTGTATTGCAACCAAAAAGTGACAACCCTGGACTCTTCGAACCGAGAGAGGTAAAACGGATTGGCTCTCTATTTGACGATTATCTAGGAAGTTCAGATAATACTCGAAAGGAACAATAATTCTATGGAGTCCGCTATTTTTCATAGGTAGAATTACGTTTCTTCAGAAGAACTAACGAACTACGAACTCACAGTTTGAAATTACAAATCCGACCTCTAAAGACGATCTTATTTTAAGTGATATTTTTAGAGACAAAGGCAAATAGTCGTGTTCTTAATTCGTATAGTCCTATAATTAAATACCCAAAATATATTAATGTAATGTAAATTGTTTTAGTATATACATACATAAGTAAGTCAAAACAAATATAAAATTATTAGAATACCTTACTAAGCTGGGCACCAAGCAATCAGCAAAGGTAAGCATTTAAATTTTAAAACTTCAACTTAATAGGAACGTCTGAGTTATAATATGTATCCAATTGCTTAACAATATTACTAAATCAAGAGTTTTAAATCAGTTAAGTTAATGTTAGTAAAAAAATTGAGAAGTAAACATATGTATATGTATTCACAGTAACAACTCAGTTCTAAAGAGAAACAACATTTTTATTGAAAAGTCTATCTTCTATTATGATATCTAATATAAGCATGACCTATCGAAACTATCGTCTACTTTTCGATAATTATGTTATCTTTTCTTACAAAAATCATATTTGTTATTCAATAGTATTAAAGCAAAAATGAGTTAATTTATAAAACTACACCCCTTTGCAATTGAATGTCAATCGAATATCGATTATTTGGCGGCGATAGGCGTGCTACGTTTGGCGGTCAAAACAAAAGCTCTCGACTGTGTGCATTCTATTTACACTTGTTTTTGGTTTTGGCTTTATGTTTTTGGCGTGTGTGGCTCGAACAAACGAAAAGCGGTGCTTACTTTGCTGATTTGGTGATTATTATTGATTTGTGGATTATATGCGTCTAATTGCAGTGGCGCTTGCAGGTGCTTGCTGGAGATCTGAATCAGATATCCTTGGGATTGGGGATTCACAGCGTGGGTGGGCGCGTTGTATGCTGATAAAAGTGTTGATGCTGCTGCTGCTGCCCGGGAATATTGCTATTGCCAACGCCGGAATCACCGGAGCTGGTCTCGGAGTCGGAAGCAGTGACGGAATCGGTATTGGAATCGGTTATGGAATTCGAATTTGAGCCAAAGTCGAGATCTCTGGGCATTTTGGGGCCTAAGTTTTTGCCTTAGTTGAACGTGGCAAACGGAATGGCAACAAAAACAAGAACTACGAATCGGCTCTAAATATAACGTCTGTCGTTATACTCGTTACTCGTTTTATTTTTCGTTTTTTTTTTATGTGGCCAATTCACAGAATGTACATTTTTTACACCTTTCACACACACCCACGCACTTTACGCTCACGCTCGCACATTTTGGCCCGATTTTTTCGCACACTGCGTTTTGTTTTTGTCACCGCAAATGAATTTCTTCTTTCTTTTTTTTTATATATATTTTTTAAAGACCCGACTATATAGAGGTGTATATACTATATATAGGTTTTTACTCGACCCTCTTTGATTTTTGCTCAACAGATTTGTGATTGGGAATTTTTTCAGCTGCACGACGTTACGACCAAATGGGTGACTCCCATTTGGAGCCACATGGGCACAGTTTTTGCATTGGGCATTTCTTTTTCTTTCTTTATTTTTTTTCACAGCTACACAAAGACTCCTTCTAAAGGGGCGTGTCGGTGTTTGTCAAGGGGTTACGGGCCCAATTCTTATGGCCTTTTCGCCTTGTCTCTGCCTCGTTTTTCAATAAAACTTCATGGCCCTATTACATATGTACTCCGCACACACTCACACACACTCGGAATTGGCACTCACACAACCACACACACATGTGTAGATATATATACAGGCCCGAGCCCGATTCAATTCGATTCGATTTTGATTTGGATTCGATCCGAGGATAATACTATAACGTGAATATACGCTATGAATGCTCCCATCCGATCGCAAATATATCTCCGTTCGTTTTTCGATTTTCCCCTAGGTTTTTCTGAGCTTGGCTAGGCTGCCTTCTGCTTTTTTTCAGCAACTACTTTCTAGATTTTCTCTGCATGCCTTTTCTGCGACGAGCGCCACCGATGTGCCACCGAACGAGAGCCTGAACTGAAACTGATTCGGGATAGCACATATTTTGTTGAATGAGTAGGTGAATGGAGTGCTGCCCCACTCGTTTTGGGCAACGCTAATGCACTCTGCGCATGCCTCAAGAAACCAGCGAGTGCCATTTTTGGAGGCTCTATTGTGAATGGTACTGCATTCTGGATTTTCATCCTGCCAGGTGGCGCCCCCATTCGATAGGTAATGAAACGGTTATTTGAAACAGCTCCATTTTATATATACTACTTTTCCACTTAAAAAACGTTAAACTTGAATAAATACAGTTAAGCAACATAAATCCTTTACTTTACTTTAATATATATTGGTGTTTTTGATAAAAAATAATGTTATGTTTGCAAAGAATTCTGGTGGGATTTATTCAAAAGCTGAATGTTAATTTGGTACGACTTTCTCAGCCTCGCCTCTAATTTCGAAGCACATGGATGTCGGTCTCCGGACGTCGTTTTCATCGAATGCTTCAAAGGTGAAAACCACTTTAAAGCGTCCATGGGCATTAGGAACATTAACGTTCGATAAACGCATACTCATCGTAAATGGATTATATACAAAAATGGTCTAGAAAAGATCGATTAGCATTCTATAATTCTGAATGGAAATTACAAAACTCACTCCTTTAGTTGTAATACACTTTTCCCTAAGGTCTTCGCGGTTTACAATGTTTTTATACCAATATTTAAACCAACTTTGATTCTCATTTAAAATTGAAGAGCAAAAGTCCGGCGTATAAACGCTATAGACTGTGGGTTGCCAGGAGCCGCGGCTTTCGCGAAATATAGTGTATCTGGCCTGAAAGTACAATATCTTTGAGTTTTCTCTGATTGTCGTTTTAGTAGGATAAAGATTACAGAAAGCCGATCTGTGCGGGGAAAATCCCACTTAATGGAGTGATTTCCGGATATATGCACGCCTTCCTCGTCCATTTCGAAGGTCATGTTAGTCAAGTCGAAAGCTTCGCGGACGCCAATCGAACCGGGAGGACCATCGGTGCAGTCCGAGTAGATTTCTGTATCCTCGAAAACCATGTAGAATTCCGTGGCTTGAATTCTGGTTCCTCCAACAATAAAAAACACTAGTATTGCAAACATTTTTAGTTTCACTTAGTTTGCAGATCTGTCCAAAACGACCTTTTATATAGCGATGGCACATGGGCGGAAAATTATAAATAATTAGGGGTTATCTATTTACATATACTGAACCATGTTTTTCCTGCGAGTACGTTTAAAATAATTCTATTAATTATTTTAATTATTGGGTGCACTTATTTATTTTAAAATTTTTTGAGCTATAGTTTCTCTAAATGATCAATCGAAAATGTATTCACACAAAAAGTCAATAATATAGTATTGTTTTCTAAAAAATTGAAAAGGTTTAAAACTTGACAGAAAAAGAACACTTCCTCCTAATCCTCTTGGGTAATTGCAATCAATTAATTCCCCCGAAATGTCACAGTCATTAGGCCATAGTCCGACGCCTCCGAATCCCGCCCAGAGTTTTGCAGTTACCATCTGAGTGAGCGGGGAAAGTAACCGAACCAATTGGGTGTGACCAGCAGGTGGCCATGCCTCGTCTAACTAACCATATGCATGTTGTCCTTTGTTGGGGGAGGACTCTCGGCCACCGTTACCCGAGCTCCTTTCGGTATGTAAAGTGAGTGGGTCTTTATCCTAAGGCACGCGGCACCGCACCCAGTTTCTTGGATTCGAGTCGAGTTTGTTGTCATTTTCGCATTCATATCCACGATGTGCTGATCAGGGACGGTTTTGTAAAATAAAGGTTAAAAATTAAAGTTTATAAAAAAGTTCTTTTTTTTTTTTTTAAACTGATATAAAATAAAGGAAATAATTATTATAGTCTTATAAATATTTTATTCCCTATTTTTAAAAATAAATGTTAGTAAGAAATATTTTTTTTTTATTATATGATGATATATTCATATCAAAAAACTTTAAAAATAGAACTTAAGATCCTTCGTCTTGGGATTGTAATCCTTCCCTGTGTCCACTAAAATATCTATCATTGCCTTTTCACGTTCTGGCTTCATTTGTCCACGGGCGGGGATGGATCCTTTGTTTGTTATTTTACAAGTTAGCCATTTTGCCGCCACATGGATACACCCCCACAAATTATTATTTTTTAGAGGGAGTGTGTGTGGAGCCGCGCCTCCCTAACTAACTTATCCAGTGGGCCAGGCCAGTTCGGAGCAGTTCTTGGGTTAGTTAGCAGTCGGAACTGGATTCGCAAGGTAGCCGGACGTATTTCGGGAGCAAACTCCGCGCTTCTAGCACCTTGAAGAGCTCATAAATCAAGCGGAAAATGGATGACGATACGGACATCTTTGACGAAATGTGGCTGGAAAGTGTGGTTATTGCGGGGTTCCGAGTGTGGCACATTATTGCAGCCGTTCTCGGTGTTCTCCTTTTAATTAGTGAGTAGATTAGTATGTTATTATGGACTAAATTTAACGCCAATTAATCTCACAGTGATTATGGTGTGCTGCTGTATTCGTTTCCGGATTCCGCGCACCAAACAGGAAATCGAAGCGGACTACCAGAGGAAACAGATCACGAAGAAGTTCCGAGAGAAGCTGCAGCAGATCAAGAACTCTGAAATGGACGACATGGACCTGCAGAAGGGTGAGAAAGTTACTACACCATCTCATTACCACCATTACATATGCATACACACCGCAAAGAGGTCCTGTGTACCAACTGTCCCAGTTTCGTTGTCACCCTAATGCGAGCCAAGCCCTTTTCCTGTCTGGTTTTCCTCCTCCCCATCCTGCCATCCCAGCCATTTCCCTCCCACACGAGCTCACGCATTTGTATATACAAAATGATAAACGACTCCTCCAGCTGGCTCCTCTTGTTGCACGCTAGTTAATGCCACACTGAGGGAAAGTTATATCTAAATTCAGTTTAAACGTAAGGGTTATCCGTTTGTGCTTTCTACTCACCAAAGGCATCTTACATTTAAGATTTTTAAAGGTTTTTCCAAAGTTCGAGTAAATTTTCATAAATATATTGTTTGTATGAGAATCAATACATTTCTACATTGTAGTCTTCGTAAACACTTTCTTTTTAATTTCATTAAAATGCGTTTTAATTTTAGAAAGATTATTTCCCAGTGCTTACCGTATTACTCACATTCTCTATCCATCTCGCCCTGCCGCTTCTTTATCATAGCACTTGCTTATATCAAATTGGAACAGTACGATGATCCCTAAGGGCTCTGTAAATTCACCCGCACACTGTACAAACTATCGGAAGTACTTAAGCAGCAAACTCTCTATCGCAAAGAACACTGCCACTGTAAGTAGCACAAGTTAAAAATATCACTAAACTGATTTCTTTACTCCAAACTCCTTTATCTAAAACATTCATTTCAGTTTGTGCCCGCATCCAGAGCGATTACTTGAATTTCCAGGCCAGCGTGGAGAGCATGAATGAGAAGCAGAATGTTAAGTTTAAGATCTAAGTGCCTGTTATAGTATTTCCCAGCGGAGATTGTAATCATAAGTAACCTAATGCCTTAATCTATGCAATTAAAAGTTAATAAACTAGAAGAGATACAAATATTCCTTGACTAAAGAGTAAAAGATGTTTTTTATATATTTTATATTGCAATTTGATTTTCTCGTTTTTATTAATTCCGATTGATGTATCAAAGGTTTTGTTAATATTTGCAGTACTTTTTTAAATGCGTTTTACTACACATATAGGCTAATTGCGGGGATGAACTCTCCATTTCGACTATATAACAAGTTGGAGGCATCCCTTAGTCGTGTTGCTCGCTTTGACATGGTAGTTTTAGTTCTCATGTTGCACTTAAATTTAAGGTTTTATTGGTTTAAAATGCTGTTCTGCTGTGACGCTGACTCGGCGAATGACTGTAACAAATTGGCGGAGACCCGGACTTTCGATGACCCGACACAAAACACACACAATTCATTTATTAACGCGTAACTATTAATTCTTTGTTCATTAATTTGCTGAGCTTATATTTAGCCTTAAGGATCTGTTTTGGAATACTTTTGTTTTGTTATCTTGTTTAGTTTATGTTGGATTTTTCATTGCTTGGCCAAAATGATGTTCGGATTTCGCTTTTAAATACACAATTTATTTTTTTTATATTTTTATAAAAACAACTAAATATACTGCACACATCATTCGATGCGTTTGAAAGTTCTCCCCCTGTAAAAAATGAATTGTTTAGTATGTTCGATAATTGAAATGGAAAATCGAATTCTCACGTTATAGTTTTCTTCTCCGTGTTTTTCGGCTCGGGCCTTGCACGGTTTAGCACCTTGAGGAAATCAGAGGTTTTTGCCCTCATACGTGAATGAATGTAGGCCTTTGAACACTGTAAAATAAGAGAATGTTAGGTATATGATGAGCTTTAAGCTTTAAACTAATCTTACCTTAATGTGGTAGTGCAAATAATCTCGGAACATGTGAATTAGGTTAATGGTATTGTCCCTTGTTTCTTTGTTGGTATGTCGAGGGAAAAGCACTGCAAGAAAAAAGAAATTGCGGGTTATAGTATATATGTTTGTATTTGCTTAGATACTTTTGTACACAAACACAAGTCGTCTGTTGTAATATAAATTATTACTCAGGATGCCGTTCGTCTTTAAGGTTTCTTTTGGAGCATTTGAGACACAAATTTTAAGTAAAGCAAAAGTATGCCACTTTTACTCCAAAATGGAGAAAAAATATTGTTAAACTATATTATTGTACACAAACACAAGTCATCTGCTATAATATAATGATTATTCAGGATGCCGTTCGTCTTTATAGTTAATATTGGAGCTTTAGAGACACAGATTAATGATAAGTTAAAAAAATATGCCACTTTGACTCCACTAAAAACTGTAATAAGCAATTGTGCAGGAAACAAATCAACCTAGACAATATGATGTATTAACCAGGATGATCCAAACCCACATTTAATCTTGGAGCATTGTAGACACGAAAAATAGGAATTTTTAACATGTAAACTTTGTCTCCCACATTGGACTTTATAATAGTTTTAGTGGTATTGTAGCTAAACACAAGTCATCTGTTATAATATGATAGATTATTCAGGATGCCGTTCATCTAATTAGTTTATTATTGGAGTATTAGAGACACAAATAACAAGTAAGTGCAAGATATGCCACTTTGACTCCAGAATGTCAAAGGAGTATTCGAATTTTCGGGCATTTGTATACGAACACAAGTCATCTGCTATAATATGATGATTATTCAGGATGCCGTTCGTCTATCTAGTTTATATTGGAGCATTAGAGACACAGATCAGAAATAATTACCTAAAATATGCCACTTTAACTCCACGATTTATATGATTGCCTTATAGTTTTCAAAACATATTATTCAGGGAAATATAACATTAATAAATTTCCTAGCATTATAAGTGCGAAAGATATTACTGCTATTAATTAAGAAACTTTGTCTTCATGGGAAAATAATTATTGTTAGTTAGTTAAAGTGTACACAAACACAAGTCATCTGCTATAATATGATGATTATTCAGGATGCCGTTCGCATATCTACTTGATATTGGAGCATTTGAGACATAGATTAAATGCGAATTTTCAATTATGCCACTTTTACTCCCGAAGGAAGATCATTGCATAATTATGCTCGAGAGTATTTATCTTTGGAAATATAATAGGACTTCCAAGATGATTTAAACGACGCAATTGTTATGGGAGCATTGTAGACACGTAAAAGAAATAAGTACTTTATCATGTAAACTTTGGCTCCAAATCATCTAATTTAACATCATTATGTATAGCCCATTAATTTATAAACTAAATATCTTTGAAAGGGTGCTTAAACCTACCGAATGTGACATAGCCGATGTTGTCGCCCACCCTGGCGTCCGTGTTGGCCAATTCCAGTGGCGGTTCGCGGTGCGAAAAGAGCACTTGCGGCGCTGTGTGCGAGGCACGACGTCCTTCCCTCAATTCCTGCATGAAAACTTTGCCGATAATAACATCGTCTTCATCTCGGAAAATGGTGCTGAAGACGACGGTGACACGATCAGGCTTGGCCTCCACATACCTACAAAACGGGCAATTTTTATTAGCTCCTCGTTAATTTAAGACTAATTTTATCTCAATTACAAAGTCTCATCGTTGCGGTAGTTAATTACGGCACGCTTTTGGCCCTCTTCACCCTGTTCCTGGTAGTCAAAATACTTCTCGAAAACGGAGGCAAAACAGTTGCGCTTCAGCAGACCGATTCTCTTTGCGATTTGTTCGCAGTCCTCGGGAATCTCCTCCAGATTTATAAGTACAGAAACATTGTAGCCTGCAATTAACAGAGAGTAATTAGCTTCGTTAAGAGCTAAACTTAAGCTGTGGTTGCATGAACACACCTTCTTCCGTGTCTGTTAGCAGACTACCATATTCACGCTTCAGCAACTCATCGGCTCCATGCTCTTGCAGTTGTTTGTAGAACTTTAGCGATATGCTGATCTGTTTAGCAATATAGAAAAGGCATAAAATATTTAATAAAATTAATATTCTCAATTACAGTCTTTTTTAAAAAACTCACCCGAACTTTCGTTTTATCGCCATTCACATTGGAAATGTGATAAAGCACTCCGTCAAAGTCTGCTATCCGTATGTCTATCGATTCTGGCTTCAGTCTGCAAATGCAAAGTTAGCAAATGAGATCGATTGAATATTAGTCATGCTCCTACCCTCCACCGTAATCTTATCTTAAAAACCAGTTTGATTATATTTTAAGTGGAAACCAATAACAAAAACGCAAACAAAAGTCCACAATAGCTTTCTTCTTTTTCAAAATATATAAACATATCTGTTCGCAAACTCGACTTAGCTGTTTTTATTTTATGAAATTAAACAGAATTCAGTTTGCCTTTAAATAACTATTGTAATGTCGGGAGAAACTCACACACAAATTAGGAATAACGTCTAAGTTATGCCATAAAATAGCTCCCAATAAGCTACTCAATTTCGACTTCTTGTACACGAACACAAGTCATCTGTTTTAATATGAAGGATTAAACAGGATGCCGTTCGACTGTCTAGTTTATATTGGAGCATTAGAGACACAAATTAAATGCAAATTTAAAATATGCCACTTTGACTCCTAATTATATTTATTTTTAAAATTGTGAACGAAAGTATTTATCTGTGGAAATATAATAATTTCCAAGATGATTTAAACGTAACAATTATTATCGGAGCATTGTAGACACGAAAAGTTAAGAGACCTTAGCATGTAAACTTTATCTCCATAGAGTTATTAAAATTTAACAATAAATCATTTTTAGGCTATTGTACACGAACACAAGTCATCTGTTCTAATATGAATAATTAAACAGGATGCCGTTCGTCTATCTAGTTGATATTGGAGTAGTAGAGACACAGATCAAAGGTATTTTTTGAAAATATGCCACTTTTACTCCACGCCATAATTCATTGATTTTATGTGCAGGACACAAACCATCTTAGCCAAAAGAAGACATTGACTATGATGATTCTAGCATACAATTAATTTTGGAGCATTGTAGACACGAAATAGAAGCAATATCATCTGTAACATGTAAACTTTGTCTCCCAAGAAAGTATTATTCTAACCAAAGATCTTAAAGTTCTTTTGTAGTCAAACACAAGTCATCTGCTATAATATGATAAATTATCCAGGATGCCGTTCGTCTTTCTAGTTGATATTGGAGCATTTGAGACATGAATTAAATTTGTATTTTAAGATATGCCACTTTGACTCCACTGAAATCTCATTGAAATATTGTGCACGAAAGTATTTATCTGAAGAAATATAAAGAAAGTTCCAAGATGATTTTAACGTTTCAATCAATTTAGGAGCATTGTAGACACGAAAAAGAAAAGATCTTCAGCATGTAAACTTTATCTCCCATGTTCTTTTGAAAAGCTTTTCTAATATGCACGAACACAAGTCATCTGCTATAATATAATGTATTATTCAGGATGCCGTTCGCCCTAACCTTTTAATATTGGAGTATTTGAGACCCAAATAACAAAAAGATCGCAAAATGAGCCACTTTTACTCCAAAATTTTGGAGAAGTAAAAACATTTATGGTGCAGTTGTAGGCGAACACAAGTCATCTGATTTAATATGATAGATTATTCAGGATGCCGTTCGTTCTATAAAATTAATATTGGAGCATTTGAGACACAAATGGAAAGATCTCCAAGTAAGCCACTTTTGCTCCCTGTGTTACAGTATATCAAATATTTTCATTTAATATTTTTTAGTATAATTTTAAAAAGTTCACAAGTGATGTTAAGTCTATAATAACAAACCTTTCTAATGAGCTTGTTAAAACGATTATTGTAAGGGTAATAAATTTAGTTATATGAAAAAGCCTTTAAGTTTAGGTGTAAGCTATGAATCTTGGGTTAGCTAAAGCTGAAGTATGATTAGGGAACGTGGGAACGGGTTAAGAATATCAAGGAGTCCCTTATAAATCAAAACACATCACTAGTTACAACTCGTAAGTTTGATGACTCAATTATGATGCACCAATGATGCTATAAACGAGCTTTAATGAATTGATAAATCCGATGTCGATGGAAAGGGGGCTGCACTGTAGTTCGGGTACGTGTGTGGGAGGGAGAGAGCTGCAACGATGAGTGTTCCAAGGCTGGAACTACACCCAAAAATGTATTATTCCCAAAAGAAGAGGGGTAGTGCGAGCGAGAGGGGTCGACGAAACTGATAACAAAGCCGACTAGTGATAACGGTGGGGAATGCAGTAGATAAACCAAAATGGTGGAATGGAAATTTGGTAACGGGAAATTAAAACTTACCCCGCCTGGGCATTTCGGTATTTGACCAGCAGCGTCTCCTCGATAATCCGATTATTGATTTCCAGCAGGATCATGACGAATTAAATTAACTGTTAGTTTTTGTGCCAAATGCGATGACAAATTTTATGACGTTGACTGCCGCTAGTGCTGGTGCTTCTTCTTCTGCCGCTCCCTGCGCTCTTTCTGCGCCAACTGTTTCTTCGACTGCCGCCGCTGAGTGCGAGTGAGATGGGGCGCTGCTCCAACTCACAAATACTGGCGCATGACGGGCGTTTTAATGAATCAACAACAAAAAATGGGCGCTGATGTCGGCTTTTTTGGTCCGTCTCATACACACAGACACGTAATACGCCACACACAGAGGCGAATTCCAATGCTCACTCACACAGCCGCACATGCAGTTGCATGAAAATCCGTTTTCACCCCTTTTTCTGACTTCAGTTTTCAATCGCCTGGACTTTGTTGCCTGCTGATGCAGTGGAAAATCGGTCTCAGACCGTAATACTTATTAAATTATAACAAAACGTGGGTGGAAAACGGGAGCACGCTGCCGTATTTTCTTTTCTTACAGCGTTGCCAGCTCGCACAATAGAGATGTACCACAGTCATCTTGGCACTAAGTATCGAATGAGAATATCGATATTCACAAGTATATGTTAATATGGCCATAACAAACGAAAATATAAAAAAAATCTTAAACGAAATTATTAAATTATTAAAAATATTCAATCACATATTTCTTTTAAATGGTAATTGAAATGTTTGAGTTAGCGCCAAATCCGCTTATCTGGCAACGTTATTCCATCGACTATCGACATTTCTCGCTAGGCTACCGGACCACCAAAAAAATATAATAAAAACAAATAGCGAAAATCAATGGACGACGTCGAGCTGATAAAGTTAATAGAGAATCATCCGATCCTGTACGACAAGGACAGCGCAAGGAGCGTGAAGAATGCGGCTCAGAAGGACGCTGCCTGGAAGGCTATATCCCTGAAGTTGGGTGCCTCCGAAAGAGCCTGCATTACGCGCTGGAAAAGCATTCGCGATCGTTTTGGCAAGGAGTTTCGCCGCTTCCAGGAACGACCCGATGAGCCAACCTATTGGGACATGTTTCCGCGACTTCTCTTTCTCAAGGACCACTACAAACAAGGACTTGCTAAGAACGAGAGCCTGGACGGGATACGCTTTGAACCAAGGGAGCGAAAGAAGCGTCAAAAAGTGGACGTGGAGCAGGAGAAACGAAGGAAGGACGAGGAGGAGGAGGACTGTCAGGATGACCTGCTTAATGAACAGCTTATTGAGCTGGTCAAGATGCATCCAGTGTTATACGACCGTCACAAAATCAGGGTGTCCAAGAATTTGACTGCGAAAAACGAAGCCTGGCGAGAGATATCCGAGAATTTAAATGTGTCTGGTAAGCTTGTGTTCCTTTTTTTTATCATATTTATCTTATTTTTTTTTTTTTATATATTTGATGTTCCCAGAGGAACTGTGCTACAACCGCTGGAAAAAGATGCGCGATCGCTTTGCCCGGGAATATCGTAATCAGCAGATCAACCAATCCACGCCCATCACATGGAGATACTTCAATGAGCTTCTCTTTCTAGGCCGCCACTTTCGCAAAGGAGTTCCGCTGATTTTGGAGAACATCAAGCGGCGTGGGCGGCCGCCTAAGACGGGCAACCCATCGGTTAATCCCACAAAGCAGCAGGAAGGTATGGTGATATCCAATGGCGAACAAATATGGGGCGCTGACTACCCCTACAGCACGGATAACGACGAGCTGGAGGACGAACTAGAATTGGCCTACAATGAGGAGATTGAAATCTTATCCGAGGACGAGCAGGCTACGCCCTATGACTTTATCCTTAGCGAAGCCACGCCATCACAGAATTTGGAGCCACCACAGCAGCTCCAAGTGACCACCACCACGCCGGCTATGAGCGAAGAGATTATCCATACCATCGAGAGGGCAAATCCTGTTGTAGAGGAGATGTCTTCACTTGCTGACGACTCTACACCGGCTGCTGCCACTTCTGACAAACTACTGACCACCGTGATAGCCAACATGGAGACCGTATTGCAGCAGTCCCGGGAATTGCAGGCCCAAATCCAGCACGAGCAGGAGCAAGAGCGGGATCAGCGTAACGCCACGCCATCCAACAGCCTGCTAGCCAAGGCTCAGATGCTGCTGGACGGCCTGAGTCCATTGGAAAGGGCGAATGCCGAGCGGAAGATCGTGCAGTTCCTTTGTCAGTGCCAAATCAAAGCGTTGGACGGAGAGGAAATAGAGGATGTTGCACCATGTCAGGTGATTAATTAAAAGCAAAGGTGATTAGAGTTCCTATCTAGTTAATTGTAAATATTTATATATACATAGGTTAGCTGCAAGCTCTATTAAAGTATTCTAGATATGGGTTATTGTGGTATTTTGAAAATTTCAGTCTTAAATTACTGGAAATATAAGTAAGGATATAAATTTGGTGCCTAAGAACGATTATATAAGATGAGTCCTCAAAAAGAACAACAGAAATGAGAATCTCTTAAATAAATGAAGGTTAATAATCATTATTTAAAATTCTTAAACTTAATTTTATATTCATATTTAAATATAAATTTCAGTCATTTTCATAGAATATAACTTAAAATAGTTTTAAATAACCAGTGCTGAAAAGCGCAGACATATCTAACCAAAACTATCGTTACCTGACATAATCCGCCAGAGGGCGCTGTTATATTCAAAATACTGTCGGTTACGAGCAGTCGAAACCAAACCACAAAAAGCAGACAGAAATTGACCGAAATAAATAAATGGCCGCCCACGCCGGCACCATTTATAACAATTAATAACGGTACAAATTCACGCACATGCAGCAGATGGATAAACAAATCGGTTGGCGTGCATTTGACGCTGGGAAGTGCGAGTGCCAAGAGTTTTTCGAAACGCTTAGTTGCCGCCTCCGGTTCGCACGGTGCAGTTGCTCGGACAAAGAGATACAGAATCGGGGAATACAAATTTCTGCGTCAAAGAGCGCCGCCAAAAAGCTGAAAATTATTAAGATAATAAACGGGAGCGCCTTTTTAAGTGCCTGCGAATGGTTCTTCTCGGGCATAAACTAGTATTTTGTGTAAATAAACGAAGCGCACGGCAAGCGTTTGAAGTTCCGGCCGGGATCCGGATTCCCCGCGTGGAATGTATGGCATTAGGGGATAAATGAAGAGCGTGCGCCCATTGTTGTGACACCTGCAGTTTCATCCTACTCATAAACCCACGACCCATATTGCTGCTCCATGAGCTTTTGGCCATTACCTCACTCATCGGCATTAAAGGCGGCACCCAGGTGGTTCTTTATACTGCTATTTTACATTTTTTGTTGACACAAAGGTGAGTACACTGGGAGAATAATATTATTTTTAGTTGATCATAAGTTTATGTTGTTCTTACGTAAGTTTAAAAAATATAGCTTTAATTTAATAAATGTAATAAAAAATCACAAACTAAAAGCTGAAAGGATGTTACGAATCTTCCAACAAGAGTTTTAGACTCAAATTTGAGTTATTATTAAATGATAAAATTTATATTTTATTATTGAAGGAACTTGAACAGCTAAGATATTATCTTTTGGATTGAACTATAGAGTATCATCATATATAAGTAGTAAAAGGTATTCTCTTTGTGCTATTTTTCTGACAGTAATCCATATGCATCCATCTATCGCTGGCTTGATATTTTTAAAGCTCAAATGCAAATGTCGGTGGAGCATTTAAAGTTCAGTTCAGCCACAGACCTTTGACCTGACCTCGAATCACCTCGGGCACCGTGGGTGGCATCGTTTTCAGAAACTGCCAGTTTGTCACATCATCGGAGGTCGAATCATCAATCACCATGGCCCTGGGTGGATTTTCATCCCTCACACACCCCCAAACCCTTCCATCTTGCAATCTATTTTCCACTTGCAATTGTCTGTAAACAGAATTTGTATAATTGCCAATTGCCGCGGATTTACTCGATTGCAGCGACCAAATAATATTCAACATACGCCGTGTGTGCCAAATTAATTGTAATACATTTCGCCGCATTGCCACACTCGAGGGGCGGTTACATATATATAACATATATTTATATATATAGAGGGGAGATTCGCATAACAATAAATCCAAACAGAACATTTGCGCTGCTTTGCACTTTGGAGCACTGCGTTCCTGAGTTGTCTGTAAATTTGCGATTTTTCCATGCTTTCGCTCTCAGTGTGAGAGTGTGTGTGTTTCTGAGAGTGTATTTGTGAACATTGTTTTTGGCATATATGTGTAGCTGAAATTGCAATAAGTGCCACTGTGTGTGTGTGCTGGCGCGCTCCTCGAGGGCTGTAAAGTAATTTGAATTCTGAATGAGCTCCTTCTGCGACTAAGGAATTCGGGAATGATCATTGAATAAGTCACCGAAACAGTGCTGAAAGGAGGTATTTGATTGTGATAAATGGATGTAGGCAGTGAATTGGCTATCAATAGGTTTCATTCGGTAGGCATTTACCACTCAAACTGAATAATCGGGGTGATTTAAACTGAATATAATAAGAGAAGGACTAACATGTTAAAAGAAGAAAATTTATCCTTAGGGTTTTTCAGCTAATATTAACAAAAAATACCGCAAACTTGTGGGAATGTTATAATAATTATTAATGTTTAATTTCATTTGCTAAAGAATTTAATATAATTTTAAGTTTCAGATCATTAATTCTTTTAAATATTGTTCACGTTTCTGGTTTAGTTCCTGCGAGAAACATTCTCTCTACCCTCGTTGTTGGTACTTTGACCGTAACACATTACGTATACGTGATGGGCAAACACTTTTCCGGTTTTCTCCATTTTCCATGTACGCGTATCCCTTTGCCCTTCAGTAGGCTGCAGTGCAGCAACATTTTTTTACGGCTGTTGCGACATGTTTTGCATGGCCGAAAAACAAAAATACGAGGCCCCAGAAACAAAAGTTCAAACACTGTTGCAAACAATTTGCAATAAAATTGAATGCAAAAGCCCAGAAAGGCGGGAAAAGAGAAGGAAAACTACAACAACGGTGGCCAAAACTCAATCATGTGGCCAGTGGAGTGGGCCACTTAGTGGCCCTGCCCCCTTTTTGCTCAACCTTTGTTTGGAGCTATGAACCTTGGCGCCATTTCGCTGACCGGCGCAGCCAGGCGCATAAATTTTGCTACGTCTTTCGGCTGAGAGGAAACGAGGTGGGGAGGGGAAACGACGTGAGGGGAAAGGAACTGAGGCTGCAGTTCAAAAGACTCGCTTGGCCAAAGTTCAGATCAAACTTTCGTCTTCGCCTCGTTTGAATGCTTGCTCCCTGGATTCTGCCATCTCGGCAGCAATGACCTACAAAAGCATTTAAAATTTACGACTTGGAGGCGATTCTGCCTCGAGATGAATGAAGACAAACTGCAGAAATGGCCAAGGAGGTGGTGCTTCTTTGGACAATGTCAGTGATGCCAATCAATTGTGGAGCAAGAAAGGAAAATTATAACGCTTTTTTATAGACTGCAATAAAACAGATGACTATAAAGGTGTCTCACTTTAAATTTCCTAGCGAAATTGCCATCTTATTTTCTTTATCGTTTCTTTATAAAATTTTTCAAATTAAATCCAAAAAGATTTAGATTTTAGTTTTCGTTTAATTACCTTAAGTTTTTGAACTTAGAAAAGAAATTAAAAGTTGCCGGTAGATCTAATACCCTTGGCGACCTGACAGCTCTTAAGGAGTTTTCCGAAGCGACTTGCGAAGCGTGCAAATTCGCGCCGCATGCGTCAAGCTGTTTAATTGCACTTGCAAGCAATTACATTTTGAGTAACTGAAAGGAGGTGTGCACTTTGCTGACAATTAGGTGCACACGCGTGCACAAATTAGGTCTGGCTGCGAGCACGGGGCGTATGCGTAATCAAAGAGCAGAGGGACCATTGTACGTCAGACAACAAAAGGCTTGCCGAAAGTCAGAGTGCAAAACCATATCAATCTGGTTGTGTGTATATATATCGTTAGACATATATATAGCACTATAAATATATCTCGGGCAGGAGGTCCCGAATTATTTATACACGTACATACATTCCTTTGCTCTGACTGAACGAGTTTTGGCGATTTGCAATTACTTTGCTATTTTGGCAATGGCTTTTACTCTTCGCCGTCGCTGCGTCTGTGTCTGGCTGTGCTGCTTTTCCCGATTTGCCACATTTTCACTCTCCACTCGCCCTCTTTTTCCACACTCAATGGTCCATTGTCTGAGCACGCTTGGCATCGTTTCAAGAGCGCGAAATCGAATGCTTTAGCTCATTACTCATACGCAACGTGGCACATCGCTGGAAAGCCAACTAGAAAAGACTTTCAATCGAAAAAGCCAATAATTGGGAAATTAAATTAAGAATAAGGGTTGTACTTAATTGAATGAAGTTGAATTTTTGTAGAACCACAGTTTTCTCTTCATTTTTTTATTAATGGGTTTCAAAATTCTTGCAATATCCAAATAAAATTTTTTTATTTAATGATTTTTCATTCCTAAAAACTTAGTGACTATATCTGCGTAAGCACATTACGCAAGTTATGAATGCATACTCATCCTAGGAATTCTTGATAATCCACACAAAATTCAAATTCAAAACAAGAAGTTCTTGAATGCGTAATAATAATCATATAAATTATACATAAATAAGCAAATTGAATGTGTTTGTAGGGCGGCAAAAACTGCAAAAGTTAATTATGCGCAAAGTGAAACCAAATGTTTTGGCTCAAAGACCATCATTGCTTGCGAATGTCGAAAGCAAATTGAATGTAAACTGAGAAAAATGAAATACGATGAGTTGTGTGGCGACAGAAGGGGAGGGTGAAGGGCCATCCATTTAATGGCCAAGTGTCCGCTGTCCGCTGGCCTCAAAGATCTCAAAATAATGTATACAATATAGAGAAAATAGAGAATACATAAATCTACGGCTAGATGCTGTCTGGCTGATATAAAAAATATATCACAAAAGCATTTCAAGTGCTCTGACAAAGGCGCTAAAAGCAAATGGATAACCAGCGGAACGTCCAAACATATGAACATAAAAATAAATTAATCAATTTCATGCAGACAACAAAAGCCCAAAAAAAAAAAAAAATACGTTTGCATTCTTATTGCAAAACTTTCCCCGTAAAAAAAACAAAGCCAATGAACTTGACGTATTTTTCTTGGTTAATCTGATGGTTTAAGTTTAGGCGATTAGTTCTTAATAGAGGAATTTGTGACAGCGAAATATTTAAAATGTGATCAGGAAATACACAAATGTATATACATTTTTGAGAATTCGTTAGGAATAATAAACTTAAATAATCCAAATGTATTTTAAGATGAAAAATTTAAGAGAAAATTGAATACTTTAAATTTGGTAAAAATAAATGTAGTTTATCCGCTGTAAATGTAGCTAAACCCGGAACTTGGCAATGTATTATCCTCTTACTTTCGTTTTATTTTTCATATATTTTTCATAGATTTCCTCACAAACATTTATTCTATCTTTCCATTCTCCACATAGAACAAACACTCGTGTCCTTAGAGAACATTTCAAGGGGGAAGCCAGCCAAAGAATTCATTTTGGCACTCAGCATATGCGTCGTGGTCAAGGCGAAGATTATTATTATTGAATATTTTATAATGCATTGCCCAATGCCCAGCACACTAATATAAAATGTGGATTTAGGGGTCGACGGGTTGGGGGTATAAAATAAATGTGTGCGAAAAACTCGAGCTGCAAAAGTTTATGGCATGAACAGTTTCAATGGGGCGCCCAGCGCCAAAAAATGTTTTCGAGTGCGAGCCGCATTCAAGCACTTTACTCTTCTGTGAGGAAAGGGGGGCGGCCACTGGGCGTGGCAAGGGGCAATGGGCGGAGGGCGTGGTGGCAGCCAACGGTACTTGAGAAACGGCGCGCGAATTTGTTGCCAACTTTCTGGGCATCGAAATGATGGCATCGCCATCGGGTACGAGTTCGAGTGCCCTAGCTGGCTCACTAATTTGCCGCCGCCGTTTGTCGCGCTCAACATTTTACATATTTGCCGATTCGCCGACCATTTCGTGGATTTATATTATTTATTTTATGGTTCTATGTGCGGAAAGATGGTTAAAGGCAAAACTCTATTTATAGGGAAATTTATATCGATAAATGAGGAGCAATTTTGAAATAACACATTTTCTTTGCTATGGATTTTAGAATAGAATTATGAAATGGAGTATTTGCTTTCAATTTCAGACTGTGTTAGAGTAAGGAAAGCCTGTTACCACCCTGCTTAGATAAATCCATTAAATATGCCGGTCAAACCTCTGCGACTCTGTTTATTCAGACATCTAAGTTTAG